GCACATCAGGATCTCCAGATACAGTCTTTTCACTTGAAGCACATCAGGTCATTTGCGACGCACTTCTGGTCAATGGTGCAGTGTCACAGTTCCTGTACACAGCTTGTAATGCAGTAGTTACTCTCTATGGTTAAGTCACTTTGATTCTACTTTAACACAATTTCTATTCATGCTGTTGCTAATGTCCCTCAGACAAAAAGCAAGCGCAGTTTACTTCTCTAATTTGTATTTTTATCAGATCTAATTCTCATCAATGTAATTACTTCACACAGTACAAAATCAACAAATCAAAAGTGTCAGGACAGACGTCAATTAAGTCCATGACAATATAGAATTCAAATGAACATTTCTGGTCTCAAAAAATACTGATTCAAGGGATAGACAATTAAAAATATGTTTACATTGGAGTAAACTTTTAATGCTTTTTCTCATGTTCTACTTTTTCATGTATCTATATGTAAATGTGAATGTGTGAGTGTATGTGTGTATGTGTGTGTGTGTGTGTGTATGTGAATTTTGGGGTTGTTTCTCCAGACTCCACGAACCACCTGTAGGTGTCAAAGGTCACACTGTGGTGATGTAAACCAACTGGACACACTCTCAACTCTCATTCAGGTCTTTCCCTGATGCTCCACCCATCACGTCTCCAGATACCTCTCTCTGCCCCGGTCTCTCTCACACCCACTCATCTCTGGAGTGGCGTGGGGAGGGGCAAGGAGGTGGCATTTCCCTTTGCTCTTTGATCTGTGACCTGTGGCTGGGTGGGCTTTGCGCTGTCCAGTGTCCAGCAGTGACCTCTCGTACAGTGAGGCAGAGTCTGAAAAACAATCCTTGAAACGGCCAATTTAAAAAAACAATAGATATCAGTATGCGAATGAGATTGTTTTTCTCTCTGAAGTCAAAACAATTTTGAAGCGCTCTTGGCTTTCCCAAGCGCTATGTAAATAAAGATTACTTATTATCTTACTAATGATGACATTTGAAGACCAGAAACTAAAGAAGTTATCAAAACAACAATTATACTCAAAACAAACAACCTTTTAAACTTTAAAACATGTATTATATACTTTTGTACTGTGTGATTAATTATCTATGCGTCCTTGGGTTTCTTGAAAGACGCCATGAAATGAAATTATGAAAAATCTCTATAAAAATGAACATTAATTTGTAAAAACATTTAAAACAAAACTTGAAATCAAACAAAAGATTTAGCTCCAGCTACACTGGATTTGGTTCAATAAAACTCAATTGTGCGTCGGAGCTGCCTCCTCATGTCTCTGAGCAGCAGCAAGGTCACGCGTGTAGTCAAAACAAAAACAAAAGTCACCACTTGAATGTGAATTGGGTGAATTGGGTAGTTTAACTTAATAATATAATACTTTTACAGCCTAATTCTCTCTTTCTTTTTAGACGAAGTCTATAATCAATAATCACTTTTAACACAGATTCTAATTGAAATGTTTGAAAAACGGCTTTTGTAACTAAAATAAAAAATACATGAAAAAATTCTCACAAACAGCTATGAAATATATCAGAGATACAATAATGGACTCACAAAATAAGCAGCAGATTTAAAAAGAAAAGCAAAGCTTTTTGTACTAATCTTTGGGTTTCAAAAACATACTAATATTCAAAACTTATTCACTAATGGTGTTTAAAAACGTTTAACTGTGTCATAACACAATGTTCAAATGGCATATTTCGCAAATTTAACGGAATAACTACTATGAAAAGCCAAAAATCCTAAAGCAGTAGCTTTGCTTCAGAGCCAGAGCAGCGAAGGTGGGGGCCGTTTCCCTGACAACGGCAGCAGATAGAGCGACGCACACACGCACAGGCAGAAAGATACAGAAGAATAACTTTCAAGATTACTTTGTTAAGCGAATATAACTGATGTTGTTCTTTATACTTTTGTCATCCAAATCTAGAAGTGATCACTTTCCACACTAGTAACAAAAGGCACTCTTTAGTGTTTAACGTTTACGCTTCTATTTTATTGAGGTAGCAAACTAATTTAAACTCAAAATCTCTTTCTAAAAAACAAAAACAACTGTTGGATACAACCCTCTCATAGCTCAACTGTGGATAAAACTCGGCAAAAAATGTAAATATCTCACAAAAGCTCTCATAGCTCAACTTTAGATAAAACTCTGCATTCTCCGGTGAACTCTGTTCACTCCAAACACAAAAACTCCCTTTTTCTGTATGTAATTTAAACCGTGATCACTGAAATATTGTTGCTTATGTACTTTTGTCATTTATCAGCTTGAAATTCGTCAATTTCAAAGCTTTTGTAACAAAGGCCTCCTTAACACGTTTCCCTTTTTATAAATTGCTTTTCTGTTTACACCATGGTTTCACTAACTATTTTCTATTCTCTATTCTCTGCCCCGGCTACTCCAAAGGCAGGGACCCCGATACGTCAGGGGTTCCTTTTTCTCTCTGCCCTGACTACTCCAAAGGCAGGGACCCCGATACGTCAGGGGTTCCTTTTTCTCTCTGTCCTGACTACTTCAAAGGACAGGGACCCCGATACGTCAGGGGTTCCTTTCTCTCTGTCCTGACTACTTCAAAGGACAGGGACCCCGATACGTCAGGGGTTCCTTTCTCTCTGTCCTGACTACTTCAAAGGACAGGGACCCCGATACGTCAGGGGTTCCTTTCTCTCTGTCCTGACTACTTCAAAGGACAGGGACCCCGATACGTCAGGGGTTCCTTTCTCTCTGTCCTGACTACTTCAAAGGACAGGGACCCCGATACGTCAGGGGTTCCTTTCTCTCTCTAATCTTATCTATAGATATTAGACATTTGGTGGACCTCAAAAAAGGACCATAATTTAGTTCACTCAATTAGCAGACTTTGAATAAACAGGTGTCCGCTCTTACCTTTTGTTGAACAGGGCCCAGGCACCGTCAGAAGTCCACCAAATATCAGCTTTTCCACGTCCAACCAGGTCTCCAGATCATGAACCAGCGCTCACTAGTACCGGGAACTAGTTTCCATCGGCAGAGACCAATCGCACGTCAAAAATCCCCGGAATGCGGACATGGGGAAAACAATTTGAAACGCTAAGTCCAAAAAACAGGACACAAAAAAATATAGTGAGACAGCGAAAAAGAGTCCCGGAGCCGGTCGCCTCTCCAGCCTGCTGGACCGCTCCCAGGCCCCAGACACTCTCAGCTCTCCCACGCCGAGAAAAAGAAACAAAGCAAACTCCCTCAAAACAATCCAGAGAATGGCACAAACCGAGCCGCGCATTCTCCACCAAATCTGTTAGGATTTAGCAGACAGAGACGGATCGTGGTGTGCCAAACTCTGGAAGTTTATTTAAGTTTCTCTCAAGTTCCACTGGTTTACTCTGTTTCTTTCCCTCAGACAGAATAAAGGCAGTACACAGTTTATATAGTCATTGTCACGTCACACATCGAAAGACATACGTGTCACAAAGAGACAGTCACATCATAGTCATAACATGGAGTCCTTGTACAGTCCTGCATTAGGCCATATTGCTATCTAATACTAATAGAGGCACAGAACTATTGTACATGATTTTATTGGTAGGGGAAACCGGAGCACCCGGAAGAAACCTACGCAGACACGGGGAGAACATGCAAACTCCACTCAGAAAGGCCCTGTCCCGACCGGGATTCAAACCCAGGACGTTCTTGCTGAGAAGCTAGAGAGTGCTAACCACTCAGCCACCGTGCCGCCCAAGAGTCTTTGAGTGTCCAAAAAAGTGCTATATAAAACCAACGCATTATTATTATTATTATTATTATTATTGTTATTATTATTAATATTATTATTATTATTATCAATGAACCCAAAGTTAATAATTGAATAATAAATGTCTCTAAAAAAATATTATATATTGTTTTTTAACATTGTAATGGTCATAAACGCTCTTTGCAGTTGTCTGTGTTTGCAGCTGAGGATTTTCAAACTTGGGGAATAACAGTAAACTCTCTGCCTCCCTCTGGGGGCAGCACAGGGCGTTACACACGGAAAGCATTGTTTACCTTTATACTTGTTACGCCTTTTATTTTCTACTGACAACACTGTTTGTGTGTCTGTATGTGTGTATGTGTGAATGTGCATGTATGTGTGTGTTTGTGCTTGTATGTGTGTGTGTGTGCTTGTATGTGTGTGTGTGTGTATGTGTGTGGTGCTGAACAAGGTTTGTCAAAATAAAACAGTTTATAATAGAGCCATTGTGTGTGTGTGTGTGTGGGGGGGGGGGGGGGGGAGGGGGGGAGGTCAAAGAGAGACCAGAGAGAGACACCAGAGAGAGAGACCAGAGAGAGACCAGAGAGAGACCAAAGAGAGACCAGAGAGAGACTAGAGAGACACCAGAGAGAGAGACCAGAGAGAGACTAGAGAGAGACCAGAGAGAGAGACCAGAGAGAGAGACTAAAGACACCAGAGAGAGACCAGAGAGAGAGACCAGAGAGAGAGACTAAAGACACCAGAGAGACCAGAGAGAGACCAGAGAGAGACCAGAGAGAGACCAGAGAGAGACTAGAGAGAGACCAGAGAGAGAGACTAAAGACACCAGAGAGACCAGAGAGAGACCAGAGAGAGACCAGAGAGAGACCAGAGAGAGACTAGAGAGAGACCAGAGAGAGAGACCAGAGAGAGAGACTAAAGACACCAGAGAGACCAGAGAGAGACCAGAGAGAGACCAGAGAGAGACCAGAGAGAGACCAGAGAGAGACTAGAGAGAGACCAGAGAGAGAGACTAAAGACACCAGAGAGACCAGAGAGAGACCAGAGAGAGACCAGAGAGAGACCAGAGAGAGACTAGAGAGAGACCAGAGAGAGACCAGAGAGAGACCAGAGAAGTCCTCTGATCTAAACACCGTGTAGCAAACAAGACACGAACGTTTCCTTCTGTCTGTAAACAAAGGTGTTAGTGTTTGTGATGTTATTGGAGGATACACACTCAGGGCAAAACAAACACACTGTAAACACACAACATTTGGACACAGAAACCGTGAAAGATGAACTGCGACACATGGAGGGACCACGGACGAGCAAAGTCCTCCTCAGAGTGTCGCAGTTATAGTGTCATGTCCTGGATCTGTTTCCCCAGAGAAGAGCTCTCTCCTTTTAGACCTTTGTCCCAGGACCACTCAGAGTTTAACAGGTCGATCATCACCACCTCCTCCCTGCTCCTCCCACTGCTCCTGCTCCAGCCCAAAACTGCTCCACATTTAGGCCCATAACTCCCCAGAGACACGGCCCCAAACCCCCCCACGCAAAGGTCAACCCGGGTTCCTCCAAATCTTCAAATTCAAGTTGAATTTGACTGGATTTAAATAACTTTACAGTGGAATATTTTCAGTTCCTGGGTTCAAGTTAGGGGTGTGACGATACTTTCTCCCGCGATTTGATTATCGATATGCATTTGCCAAGTATCAATATCGATAAGAAAAAAAAAAGATGTTTTTTTTACATTTTTTTTAAAATTGGTATCAGTACTTAATATATGGCTACATTACGCATCTCTATTCTATTTATCATGAAATAAAGAGTGTTTATTCTTTTATTTATGCCATAAATTGGCATATTGTATATTTCTGACCAATATATCAATAATCGTAATATCGTTATCGTAATATCGTTATCGTGAGCTTTGTATCGTGTATCGTATCGTGAGGTACCCTTAGGTTCCCACCCCTAGTTCAAGTCCAAATCCAGACGGGACCTTTCTGTGTAGAGTCTGTATGTTCTGTCTGCGTAGGTTTCCTCCTGGTTCTCCAGTTTCTTCCTGGTGCTCCAGTTTCTTCCTGGTGCTCCAGTTTCCTCCTGGTGCTACGGTTTCCTCCTGGTGCTACGGTTTCCTCCTGGTGCTACGGTTTCCCCTCGCACTAAAAACATGAGCCATAGTTTAAGCTAGTTTAGTGCGACTGGGAGAACAGATGCAAATCCACACAGCGACAATCCAGAGGTCTCTCTCTGGTCTCTGCAGTTTCACTTTCCATTCTCACTGCTGCTGTTACAGAATGATGTTGGTTCTTTCCCATCTTTGGCCTGAGGAGGACGCTGTTGAAGTGCTTGTGGGGGTTGGGTGTGTTGTAAAGTTCCACTGCCCCCTACAGGCCGCAAGCTGCAACTACATCATTTTCATTCGTTGTCTAACTGCTGTGGACTTTTCAGCGTCTCAGACACAAATCTGATACGAGTAACAACTACATTTGTATAAAAAAAACACGTTTTTTGTTTTTCACAATTTATTAACATAATCCACAATCATTTAAGAGACAAGAAGTCAAAAATAACATTCAGCAAATCTGGTCCAACGTCACATGTTCAGACTGTTTTTAGTAAACTTTTAAAGTCATTCTGTGGTTCACTGTCACACCTGCTCCTCCAGGACCCCTCCTGCTCCTCCTGGACCCCTGCTGCTCCTCCAGGACCCCTCCTGCTCCTCCTGGACCCCTCCTCCTCCTCCTGGACCCCTCCTGCTCCTCCTGGACCCCTCCTGCTCCTCCTGGACCCCTCCTCCTCCTCCTGGACCCCTCCTGCTCCTCCTGGACCCCTCCTGCTCCTCCTGGACCCCTCCTGCTCCTCCTGGACCCCTCCTGCTCCTCCTGGACCCCTCCTGCTCCTCCAGGACCCCTCCTGCTCCTCCAGGACCCCTCCTGCTCCTCCTGGACCCCTCCTCCTCCTCCTAGACCCCTCCTGCTCCTCCTGGACCCCTCCTCCTCCTCCTCCTCCTCCTCCTGGACTCCCCCTTCACTCCTCTATCCCCACCATCTCACAGCTGACCTCCCACAGCCTCTTGGCGGCCTGTTCGTCTTTAGCCGCCGGCGTTAGCTCCTCTTCTTTACAGTTAGCGAAGCACTTTCCGGAGACGCCCTCCACCTCGGGCGAGCTGGCCAGGTAGAGCGGCGTCTGCACTCCTTCCAGCGGGCTCTTGAAGAACGCCATGGACGCCAGCTTAAACAGTGGCTTTGCTAACATGGGGATGGGCACGTGGCGGCCCAGGTTGGTGCGCACGATCCCAGGCGTGAGCGCGTTGACGGTGACGCCGGAGCCTTCCAGCCGCTTGGACAGCTGCAGCGTGAAGAGCAGGTTGGCGAGTTTGCTCTGGCTGTAGCAGAAGGCCTTGTCGTACGCGGCCTCGCTGTTGAGGTCCTGGAAGTTGATGGATCCGTATTTGTAGAGCTTGGAGGAGACCACGACCACGCGGCTGGGGGAGGAGCGTCGGAGCAGGTCGAGGAGGAGGTGGGTGAGCAGGAAGTGGCCGAGGTGGTTAACGCCGAACTGCATCTCGAAGCCGTCCTCGGTCTTGGTGTAGGGGCACTGGTACAGGCCGGCGTTGTTCACCAGGACGTCCAGTCTGGGTTCCTCCTGCAGGACGGGAAATACACAAACACAGGAGGATTAGGGCGAGATTCAAGAGAAAGTAGAAGGAATGTATGGACCAGGGGTTTCCAAAAGGCGGACCAGGGTCCAGGCCCGGACCTCCAGAGCATTTTCTATGGACCCCTGTGATTTTTAAGTCCTAGATATGTAAATATTTCACCAAAGACAGGGGGGAGTGTGTTTCCAGTTGCCATATGATGGTTACCATGGCAATAGCTGTTATGGCAATAATCACCATGGCAACCGTTGGCAATCACTATGGCAAATGCTTTCATGGCAACCGTCACTATAGGAACGCCACTTTAGTATTTTGTACCGTGTCCAAGCAACCTACCCGCAACAGACCAGTATCCATAGAAATTCCTTGGTAACCATGGCTGCAGGGGCCAACCCGTACCCGTCTCACTGAGATGTGCCTAAACACTGGTCGCTATGAATGACAAGCTTCAAATGTTATTGTGTCAGCTTTGACCATCGCATTAGTCCATAGGTCCTCTTGGTAAAATAATGTTTTTATTTTTTTATTTATGCATCTTGCAAGACAAAAAAACTCCATAAAAAGGAGCGGTCAAAGACCATTGGCCTTCACCGGGCTGTACACCTGCCCAGCTCATTGGAGAGGGCCCCCACAGACATAACACACAGGCGCCACCCACAGGCCAATCAGTGCACATGTTTGGCTCTTACACTGGCTTCTTAGCACTCACTCTCAGTTCACTTTAGCACCAGCTCGGTCTGGATCAAACCAGGACCAAGAGGGACTATAGCAGAAAAGGGACATTTCTCTGGATTAAATTTTGTTTTGAACAGTGGCAAATACAAAACGTGTCACCATCGTGCTGGAGATATTGATATTTAACTTGTAGTCTTGTATGTATGTTATTCTTCCATGAGTTGTGTTTCCTCAAATGTTTCCCTCTCTTTGTCTGTGTTTCTGCTGAGCTCAGCGTTTGACAATGACTTTTACAATGACTTTCAGCATGTGACCAGAGTGAGTCATTTTCACACATGTCTACCATTAATACTATTATTCAGATCTATAGCATATACTTGTTTACTCCAACTAAAGTAAGGGCCTGCAACAGTGACCTTGTGTTGAGCTATTTAAAGATGGGGTCTCAAACTTTCAAACTACAAGAAAGAACTGCAATCAAATCCATTTCGTTCCTGGCTCTAAAACAGTTTTCTTCCATCACTACGGTTCTCTTAGATGTGTTTTTGGGTCTGTCACTATTTATTATTTTACAAAACTTTTACAAACCGATGTGTTTATAATGGGAGAAATAAGTTAGGTATCTCAGCTTTAATTTGAGAGCATTGGTTCACTTTACAACAACACTTTTGCAACTTTGACTTCACCTGGAGGATCTGCTCACAGAAGCGGCGCACGGACTGCAGCGAGGCCAGGTCCAGCAGCCGGACCACCAGCTCCCCCCGCTCCCCCCGGTGCCCGCTCTGGGCCTGGATCTCTCGGGCTGCCTCCTCCGCCCTGGTCCGGTCCCGACAGGCCATGATGACCCGGGCCTGCAGGGCGAGCAGCTCCCCGGCCAGGGCCTTCCCGATGCCGCTGTTGGCTCCGGTGATGATGACCGTCTTCCCCCGCATGGTGTCCCCGGGGAGGCGCAGCGGAGGGGCGGCCTTCTGCTGCGGGAAGAGCCGACGGAGAAGGACCAGGACCCCACCGCCTACGACTGCGGCTACAAGGACCGCGCTGAGCATGGAGCCGAGAGCCGGGAGTGTGAATGACCCGGGCTGGTTCAGAACAGGCCCATGAGGCTTTTGTTTTGGTTGTCAGTGGCTCTTCCTCGGGTCCATCCAGCTGCAGCTGTGAGAGAGAGCGGCTGCAGTGCGCCACCTGCTGGAGCGACAATGAACTCTTTCTGGCTGCATTCAAAACTCTCATTTCTCTCATTTTGGTTGCCAGTTTCTTTGGTACATTTTAGCTGGTTTTGACTGGTTAAAAAGACAAAAACATTCACAAACAAAAAATATAAACACACATTTGTTTGAATCTGCTTTTATAAACTGTTTTAGTGAGAGGGCCACTTCAGTTCACCAGACTTGTCCAGGGGTTGACAACATGTGTGTAACACTTTTTGACAGGATTTGGGCTTCAATATATTGGATGATGTGTCTATATTGATTTATACCACAGCTACATCGGCTCCATATTTGGAAAGACAATCAAAAACAAATGTCAGAGGTTCTGAGTTTTACCACACGGTACATGATTATACAGCTGGAGCTTAAGTTGGCTGGATGATACTTGGCGGCATGACTCAGGCTTTAGTTTGGAGATCCTGATATTACCTGTCACATGAAATTTTCGTTGTGCACTTATTTGTTTGCTGTGCATTGTCACTGGTCACATACATTCAATTATTGTGAGATAAAACATGTTTGAACAGAAAGACATCTACGAGTTTAGTACAATTCTGGCTCCACTCAGGAAAATAAATAAGATCTCGATGGTGACGAACAAGTGGCGCACCCTGTCAGTGTAATTATTATCGCTGTGTTATTGCCACACAAAATCTAGGTAGCACCTGAAATCAGAATAGTGGAACCACCTGCATGTGAAAGCCTGACATTGTCAAACCTAAGTAGGGTTGAGCTTGGTTAAAACTGTGATGGGAGACCTCTGGGAACACCAGGTGCCATAGTGGGGAAGGTCACTTCATCCACATTATAATGAGTCTGGTGGTGGTGGAAGGGGCTGATGGCTTCTGTCAGACTGCTCCAGGGCAGCTGTGGCTACAGTAGTTGTTTATCGCCACTGTGCAAGGAGTTAATGAATAATGACATGTGAAGCGTCTTTGAAAAGCTAGTGCATCATTATTAGAAAACATGCCTCCTTCTGCTTTAATTGAGTTTTCATAACACGGGGTAACTCTACGTTTGGTCCAATGAAATACCTTTTTAAGATGCCACGAGGGTGATACAAAATTATATACATACATCAATGGGTTAAAATAGTTTTTATTCTCGACACATCAAAGCCATCATCCAAATTCAGTCAAAATACCTCTTTCCTTGCCTTCCTTCTAGTTTTCAATGACCTTTTCAGCACATATTTAGACCCGAATAACATTATAGACGTCTTAAAAATTGGTTATATTTCACTTGAGCAAACCGCGTTACTGGGTTTCATAAACAAGTATATTACAAAACACAATGAAGGGCAAAGAAGGAAGTTTGTTGATTGAATTTGGATGTAGCCGTAGACTTGTAAACACCATTTGTCTGTACTGTCTCTTTAAACGCGTCGCGCCGCCCTGTGGTTGTTGTGCGGAAACCCCGTGCTGGCTCGGAGGGGACCCAAGATGGCGGAGCGCTCTCAGAGACACAGCTAGCAGTCATCTCTCCAAACAGGCGCGGCCAACGGCACTTCGCGCTGTTATGTAAAGAGTAACGTCCGAGTAAACCCCCGGCTTCAGCGCGTATGTTTGCCTCGCTTCCGGAATGCCTAAAAATTATTAAGGAGAGCGCCAGTCTCTCCGCGGCCCCGAGCCAGACTACGGCGGAATACTGGGGGAGCAACAGCTAACAGCTAACAGCTAACGCCACTAAGCTAGCACCCATAATATTTACAAACCGAGAGGCTTTCTGTCTCACAGTAAAGACTTGCGTTTTGGTTCGCTGCGGGATAAATATGTTCTCTCTCTGTGGCTCTGGGCATTCCATATTAAAGAGTTTTCTAGCGATGAAAATGTGGGGGTGAAAACAGCTAATGCTAATGCTATGCTACATGCAGTATTGCGTTGACCGTACCCAGTGTACCATCGTCCGCGGATGTTTTGGTCGCACGTAAACACCAGCTTTTCGTTTACTACTACACCGTGCAAGACCACCACATGCAGCTCTGCTGATGTGCATGTTCACACACATTCTGTAGTCTATATTAGTCTGTCTGGTAATTGACGCAATGCATTTAGGTTGGACTATTTAGTAGTCGTTAAATATATAATAATTGCATGTTTCTCATATAAACAGTTTAATAGTACACCTAATGTCATCGCACACATTGTAAACATATGAAAGAAGGCGAAATACGTGAGCTATAAACTGCTATTTTAGAATGTTTTCCATATACCGGATACTTTCTTCACTAGTTGTATTATAAATATTAAGCGTTATTGGCCCACGACACCGTATATAAGGCCACAGCTTTTGTTTTTTCTGCGCGGGCTCAGACGCGTTGTTGTGGGTCCCAGGAGGAGGGGGGGCACCTGTCAGAATGACGGACACGCGGCGAAGGGTCAAAGTGTACACCCTGAACGAAGACCGGCAGTGGGACGACCGCGGGACCGGGCACGTCTCCTCGGGATATGTGGAGAGGCTGAGAGGCACGTCCCTGCTGGTGCGGGCGGAGAGCGATGGTGAGAGCACTGAGAGGTTACCCAGGACAGAGCAGACCAGTGAGAGAAGATTACCCAGGACAGAGCAGACCAGTGAGAGAAGATTACCCAGGACAGAGCAGACCAGTGAGAGAAGGTTACCCAGGACAGACCAGACCAATGAGAGAAGGTTACCCAGGACAGACCAGACCAGTGAGAGTGTTACCCAGGACAGACCAGACCAGTGAGAGGAGGTTACCCAGGACAGACCAGACCAATGAGAGAAGGTTACCCAGGACAGACCAGACCAGTGAGAGAAGGTTACCCAGGACAGACCAGACCAGTGAGAGAAGGTTACCCAGGACAGACCAGACCAGTGAGAGAAGGTTACCCAGGACAGACCAGACCAGTGAGAGAAGATTACCCAGGACAGACCAGACCAGTGAGAGAAGGTTACCCAGGACAGACCAGACCAGTGAGAGAATGTTACCCAGGACAGACCAGACCAGTGAGAGAATGTTACCCAGGACAGACCAGACCAGTGAGAGTGTTACCCAGGACAGACCAGACCAGTGAGAGAATGTTACCCAGGACAGACCAGACCAATGAGAGAAGGTTACCCAGGACAGACCAGACCAGTGAGAGGAGGTTACCCAGGACAGACCAGACCAGTGAGAGTGTTACCCAGGACAGACCAGACCAGTGAGAGAAGGTTACCCAGGACAGACCAGACCAGTGAGAGTGTTACCCAGGACAGACCAGACCAGTGAGAGAAGGTTACCCAGGACAGACCAGACCAATGAGAGAAGGTTACCCAGGACAGACCAGACCAGTGAGAGTGTTACCCAGGACAGACCAGACCAGTGAGAGGAGGTTACCCAGGACAGACCAGACCAATGAGAGAAGGTTACCCAGGACAGACCAGACCAGTGAGAGGAGGTTACCCAGGACAGACCAGTGAGAGGAGGTTACCCAGGACAGACCAGTGAGAGAAGGTTACCCAGGACAGACTAGGACAGACCAGTGAGAGAATGTTACCCAGGACAGACCAGACCAATGAGAGAAGGTTACCCAGGACAGACCAATGAGAGAGTGTTACCCAGGACAGACCAGTGAGAGAGTGTTACCCAGGACAGACCAGTGAGTAGGGGTGGAACGGTTTGAAAAAATCACGGTTCGGTTCGTACCTCGGTTCAGAGGCCACGGTTCGGTTCATTTTGTCGGTTCATTTTTCAAAAAAAAAGTTTTGTCTTTTTAATAAACACAGCTCATGTGGACTCGGCTTCTGCTCTGACTGCCCCCCCTGACCTAGAAATGAATTAAGGGGAAGGAAATGGATGGATGGATGGAAGGCATATTCCATCCATCCAATTATGTCTATTTAACATAATTAATGAAAAACAACGCAAAGTGCAACATAAGAAGGCACTTTATGAGGATATTTACCCTCATATATTAAACCACCTTCCTGATTCTCCCAAGGAGGCGCTCCATTCTGGGCCCAGCCTCATTCACTGCATTTATTTAATTTTTGGCATTATCAGTTGTGACTGGAATATTAGTACTGGGCCTTTGTCTTCCATTCCTCCGCTGCTTGTGTCAGTACCTGCGCTGTGTGACAGTGTGACTGTCGTAGAGGGGGCGTGTCTGCAGCGCCAGACTTCTCATCTCCCAGTCTGCGGTGATGAAGTGAGCGGTTCCGCTCATGGATCTATTATAGGTTCCGCGGGACGTCCGAGCGTCAGTCGTGAGCGCAGCTGAGGATGCGCGGGAGAGTTGACTTTAGCCCGGTCTGACTGTGCGTAAAGGAGCTGCTTAAATGCCGCGACAATAAGCGGTCATTGAGACGCTTTTTTCACTCATGTCTTTCTTGTGCCACAGTGCTTACACATCGTGACAGTTTTGTCAAATATTAATTATCAGTGTAGTTACAGTGAAGCCAAAATGCTCTCATACTGGGAATTTAAATGACGCAGGGCTTTCAAGTATCTCCGTTCCTCCGCTCGCAATGACCGCGCTGTGTGTGGACTGAACAACGTGCGCACAACTTTTTTTTCATAAATCAAACCGCGGATCACGTCTGTACCGAACCGAAGACGTTGAACCGAACGGATCACGGATCAGTGATGAACCGTTGCACCTCTACCAGTGAGAGGAGGTTACCCAGGACAGACCAGTGAGAGGAGGTTACCCAGGACAGACCAGTGAGAGGAGGTTACCCAGGACAGACCAGTGAGAGGAGGTTACCCAGACCAGACCAGTGAGAGAAGGTTTCCCAGGACAGACCAGTGACTCTACTCTACTCTACTCTCCCCTGATTGGGAGTGTTTCCTCTGGTCCTGTTTAACCAGTACCAGGTCCTTCTTAGTCCCTCTTGGTCCTGGTTCTATCCAGGCCGAGTGGTGCATGGCTACCTTTACTACCAGCAGATCTCTTGGTGTATTTTATGTGTGGCTAAGATGAGATAAGATTGACTTTATTGATCTCTGATGGATAAATATACAATTTACATTTGTCAGATAGAATCACTCAGATTTGTGCAAAAGACAGAAACATGTTAAAGGTTAAAAATATAGTCTGTGCAGGATATAATTATGTACAATAAAAAGTTTGTTTATAGCTAATTTTTGGATCGTCACATGTTCTCCCCCGACAGGTTCTCTTCTGCTGGAGTCTAAAATCAACCCCAACACGGCCTACCAGAAACAACAGGTGAGACTCTGCCCACTCTCCGCTGAGTCTCTCTCTCTCTCGCTCTCTCGCTCTCTCTCTCTCTCTCTCTCTCTCTCTCTCTCTCTCTCTCTCTCTCTCTCTCTCTCTCTCTCTCTCTCTCTCTCTCTCTCTCTCTCTCTCTCTCTCTCTCTCTCTCTCTCTCTCTCTCTCTCTCTCTGAGCTTCTCTTTCTTTCTGAGCTTCTCTCTCTTTGAGCCTCTCTCTCTGAGCTTCTCTCTCTCTCCGCAGGACACGTTGATCGTTTGGTGCGAGGCTGAGAACTATGACTTGGCGCTGAGCTTTCAGGAGAAGGCCGGATGTGACGAGATCTGGGAGAAAATCTGCCAGGTATGAACTCCTTCTGTGTGGAGTTTGCATGTTCTCCTGGTGTCTCTGTAGAGTTCCTTCAGGTGCTGCTCTGTGTGACCTTGGTCTACCACATGCGCTATATAAATAAAGATTACTTACTGATACAGCAACATAGAAGAAACATATATTTTTATTATCATCTTGCCATATTGCGCTAACTTACTCTAGACATTTAAAGGAGAAGAATGTAAAAATCAGTCCAAAAGTGGTACTGCAGCCTCTCCCACTCTCCCTGACTCAGGTTGCCAGATATGCAGACGAATCCAGCTGGGACCATAACAGCTGAATAGACAAGAGTTTTGTCAACAACAAATCTATAACCAACACCTTTTTCACAAAGATAGAAATCCTGGTTTTATTCCTTGTTTTGTCGTTAATGATTTGAGAATCATAACGAGACCTTTTTTAGTTCTGTGCCACATGGTACTTTACCAGTGAGATTAGCTCCACGCAGTGAGTTCTGGCACCCGGATCACAGACTTTCTGATTGGTGAAACGGTGGAGGGCGGGACATCGAAATGAAAACAATAACAAGATTTAGAGGCTGGAAAAGTAATTTAGAAATTAAAATATCTCTGAACTACTGTTATCAGTTAAAGAAGTAATGGAAAAGAACAGTTTATTATTATGACAGATTAGGGCCCTTTAATGATGACAGATTAGGGCCCTTTAATGATGACAGATTAGGGCCCTTTAACGATGACAGATTAGGGCCCTTTAATGATGACAGATTAGGGCCCTTTAATGATGACAGATTAGGGCCCTTTAACAATGACAGATTAGGGCCCTTTAATGATGACATGAAAATCTTACATATTGCTGCTTTAAATATATACAAACTGATGTAGACTTACTATATGAATATCAAACAGATGAGTGCGTTAGCTGCAGCGCTAACAGAGTGTGTGGTGCAGGTGCAGGGGAAGGACCCGTCGGTGGAGATCACTCAGGATGTGGTGGACGAGTCTGAGGAGGAGCGCTTTGACGACATGTCTTCTCCGGGTCTGGAGCTGCCGCCGTGTGAGCTGAGCCGCCTGGAGGACCTGGCGGAGCTGGTGGCCTCGTCCTTGCCTTCGCCGCTCAGGAGGGAGAAGCTGGCTCTGGCCGTGGAGAACGAGAACTACATCCGCAAACTTCTGGAGCTGTTCAGAGTGTGCGAGGACCTGGAGAACCGTGAGGGCCTGCACCATCTGTACGAGATCATCAAAGGCATCTTCCTGCTCAACCGCACGGCGCTCTTTGAGGTCATGTTCTCGGAGGAGTGCATCATGGACGTGATCGGCTGCTTGGAGTTCGACCCCTCGCTGCAGCAGCCGCGGCCGCACAGAGACTTCCTGACTAAGACGGCGCGCTTCAAGGAGGTCATCCCCATCTCTGACCCCGAGCTGCGGCAGAAGATCCACCAGACGTACCGCGTGCAGTACATCCAGGACATGGTGCTGCCCACGCCCTCCGTGTTCGAGGAGAACATGCTCTCCACTCTGCACTCCTTCATCTTCTTCAACAAGGTGGAGATAGTGGGCATGCTGCAGGTGAGACACACACAGACACACACACAGACACACACAGAGATGCACACAGAGAGACACACACAGAGAGACACAGAGACACACGACAAGGTGGAGATAGTGAGCATGCTGCAGGTGAACACACACACACACACACACACACACACACACACACACACACACACACACACACACACACACACACACACACACACACACACACACACACACACACACACACACACACACACGTGCGTTCTCACCACGCCGCATCAACACAGTCTTGATGCATCTTGGACACATAATGAACTTTGGTGCAAGGCCATGGAGAGACTGAGCTGCTTTAAAGTCTATTCTCTGAGCCACAGGAGACCGTGTACATTACAATGTACATTATGCCCATATTTAGACTGTTGGGTCCTGCTCTTGAGTTACAGATGCATCAATCCAGATTCTGTTTTGTCTGATTGATTTATGTTTTCGGACTGAGGAGAAAAGCACAGATCTGACTCAGTTTAGTGCCGTTTGATTGTGTCCATAATGAAAATCACACACGTTTCCTCCCTCAGCGCTGATATCAGAGCATGTGACCTTTGCTTTTCTACTGTGTCAACGCAGCGTGTTTATGTGGTCGCCATGGAGACGTAGTGTTTGAAAATCACCGCTCTCAGTGTTGTGTACCGCCTTTTCACACCAAACACTAAACAGTTTCTCTTTTTCTACGAAGTTACTATTGGTGGGAAAAAATCGATTCTGTTCAGTATCGCGATATTTTGCTCGCACAATTTAATGGATACAGTAAAACAAAGTAATTAAATTTCCTCATTTTCATCTGAGGTTTCTATGACTCTATGATGTCTGCTTGTTGTGACTCTATGACGTCTGCTTGTTGTGACTCTATGACTGCTTGTTGTGACTCTATGATGTCTGCTTGTTGTGACTCTATGACGTCTGCTTGTTGTGACTCTATGACTGCTTGTTGTGACTCTATGATGTCTGCTTGTTGTGACTCTATGATGTCTGTTGTTGTGGCTCTGTCGTCTGCTTGTTGTGACTCTATGACGTCTGCTTGTTGTGACTCTATGATGTCTGCTTGTTGTGACTCTGACTGCATGTTGTGACTCTATGATGTCTTCTTGTTGTGACTCTATGACGTCTGCTTGTTGTGACTCTATGACATCTGCTTGTTGTGACTCTATGACGTCTGCTTGTTGTGACTCTATGACGTCTGTTTGTTGTGACTAGGGATGTAAAAAACTATGAATTTTCATGACCGACCACCGAGCCTCATTAACCGGTTGAAACCGGTTAACCGCGTAGTTTAAAATAGTCCACGTTCTTTGAAATAACAGCCATTTCGAGCCGCGTACTTTTCATAAGTGCAGCTCTGCGTTCTACTGGATCAGAGTTGAGACAGCGGCGCCCAAACCCGCAACAGCTCCGGCACCTTTGCGCACAGAGAACTGCTTTTTTAATCTTCCCATTCTGCTGTGCTGCGGGTTAATACCAAAACTTTCTAGCAGCAAACGACGGCTCGTTCACATGGTCAAAGCAGCGAGTGACGAGCCGCGTCTCACAGGTCTTCACAAAAGTTTAAATACAAGTGATGTTTGTGGAGCTGATCCCGAGGACCATAAACACAAACATGTTCCATGTGGTTTGACTGGAGCCGTGTGTTTGCACGAATCCTTTGGGCTCCGTGACACAGAGGAGCGCGACAGACCGGTATGTGTGTGTGTATGTATGTGTGTATGTATGTGTGTGTGTATGTGTGTGTGTAAATGTAAGCTCCAATGTAGTTCTGACCCGCGCCAGTGTGCAACATTGACGGTAACAAAGGGGAGAGATGATGCGTGTGGATGTTACGTATGGAGAGGGGGAAAGTGTGTGTGTGTGTGAGTGTGTGTGCGCGCGCGTGCGTGTGTGCATATGTGGCTCGTGCGGCGTGAGAGTTGTCCCGGAGTTTATAATACATGGGCGCACACAGCTAGATACAGACCCGCTCGTCACACCGTGCAAATAGGGCTTAAAATAGCGTTATTAAGAGACCTCCCCTCTCCCCTTTTTCTCTTTTTTAACCGACAGCTTTGACCGGTTAACGCTGTGATGGTCAACCACCGGTTAAACGGTCGCCGATTTACATCCCTAGTTGTGACTCTATGATGTCTGCTTGTTGTGACTCTGTCTGTTTCTTGTGACTCTATGATGTCTGCTTGTTGTGACTATATGATGTCTGCTTGTTGTGACTCTATGATGTCTGTTTGTTGTGACTCTATGATGTCTGCTTGTTGTGACTCGATGTCTGCTTGTTGTGACTCTATGATGTCTGCTTGTTGTGACTCTGACGTCTGCTTGTTGTGACTCTATGATGTCTGCTTGTTGTGACTCTATGACGTCTGCTTGTTGTGACTCTATGACGTCTGCTTGTTGTGACTCTATGATGTCTGCTTGTTGTGACTATGATGTCTGCTTGTTGTGACTCTATGATGTCTGCTTGTTGTGACTCTATGATGTCTGCTTGTTGTGACTCTATGATGTCTGCTTGTTGTGACTCTATGACGTCTGCTTGTTGTGACTCTATGACGTCTGCTTGTTGTGACTCTGACGTCTGCTTGTTGTGACTCTATGACGTCTCCTTGTTGTGACTCTATGACGTCTGCTTGTTGTGACTCTATGACGTCTGCTTGTTGTGACTCTATGACGTCTGCTTGTTGTGACACTATGACGTCTGCTTGTTGTGACTCTATGACGTCTGCTTGTTGTGACTCTATGACGTCTGCTTGTTGTGACTCTATGACGTCTGTTTGTTGTGACTCTATGACGTCTGCTTGTTGTGACTCTATGACGTCTGCTTGTTGTGACTCTATGACGTCTGCTTGTTGTGACTCTATGATGTCTGCTTGTTGTGACTATGATGTCTGCTTGTTGTGACTCTATGACGTCTGCTTGTTGTGACTCTATGACGTCTGCTTGTTGTGACTCTATGACGTCTGCTTGTTGTGACTATGATGTCTGCTTGTTGTGACTCTATGACGTCTGCTTGTTGTGACTCTATGACATCTGCTTGTTGTGACTCTATGACATCTGCTTGTTGTGACTCTATGACGTCTGCTTGTTGTGACTCTATGACGTCTGCTTGTTGTGACTATGACGTCTGCTTGTTGTGACTCTATGACATCTGCTTGTTGTGACTCTATGACGTCTGCTTGTTGTGACTCTATGACATCTGCTTGTTGTGACTATGACATCTGTTGTGACTCTATGATGTCTGCTTTTTGTGACTATGACGTCTGCTTGTTGTGACTCTATGATGTCTGCTTGTTGTGACTCTATGATGTCTGCTTGTTGTGACTCTATGACGTCTGCTTGTTGTGACTCTGTCTTCTTGTTGTGACTCTATGTCTTCTTGTTGTGACAGACAGAATGAATGTCAGTCTTATTTTCCTCAATGTTTGTGAAGTCTCTGAATAATATGAAGGACATAAATCACAATATATCACTGAACCACAATCTGTTCAGATTCAGATTCAGACTACTTTATTTATCCCACCATTTGAGAAGCACATAACATTAAAAAACACAGGAAATAAGTGATTTGACATGAAGTGGAGTCCCATACAAACATATGAACATGAAACAACAATACAGTTCAAACATTAGAGTCCACATCCAGCTACAGAGAGTTCAAAAGTCTAATAGCAGTTGGCACAAAAGATTTTAAATGACGACTGGTTTTACAATGTGATGCAACATAATGTGGTCCTGATGGGAGCAAAGTGAACTCATTCAGAACATGATCAGTGGACATTATGACGCGAGCCTTTCTCACCATCTGCTGGTTACAGAGCGAACAGTTCCCTCTGTCCATGGCAATATATCACAGAATGGCATATCACAGAATGGCGCATCACAGAATGGCAATATATCACAGAATGGCAATATATCACAGAATGGCAATATATCACAGAATGGCATATCACAGAATGGCATATCACAGAATGGCATATCACAGAATGGCATATCACAGAATGGCATATCACAGAATGGCAATATATCACAGAATGGCAATATATCACAGAATGGCAATATATCACAGAATGGCAATATATCACAGAATGGCAATATATCACAGAATGGCATATCACAGAATGGCATATCACAGAATGGCATATCACAGAATGGCATATCACAGAATGGCATATCACAGAATGGCATATCACAGAATGGCATATCACAGAATGGCAATATATCACAGAATGGCAAAATATCACAGAATGGCAATATATCACAGAATGGCAAAATATCACAGAATGGCAAAATATCACAGAATGGCAATATATCACAGAATGGCAATATATCACAGAATGGCAATATATCACAGAATGGCAATATATCACAGAATGGCAATATATCACAGAATGGCAAAATATCACAGAATGGCAATATATCACAGAATGGCAAAATATCACAGAATGGCAATATATCACAGAATGGCAATATATCACAGAATGGCAATATATCACAGAATGGCAATATATCACAGAATGGCAATATATCACAGAATGGCAATATATCACAGAATGGCATATCACAGAATGGCGCATCACAGAATGGCAATATATCACAGAATGGCAATATATCACAGAATGGCAATATATCACAGAATGGCATATCACAGAATGGCATATCACAGAATGGCATATCACAGAATGGCATATCACAGAATGGCATATCACAGAATGGCATATCACAGAATGGCATATCACAGAATGGCAATATATCACAGAATGGCAATATATCACAGAATGGCAATATATCACAGAATGGCAATATATCACAGAATGGCATATCACAGAATGGCATATCACAGAATGGCATATCACAGAATGGCATATCACAGAATGGCATATCACAGAATGGCATATCACAGAATGGCATATCACAGAATGGCATATCACAGAATGGCAATATATCACAGAATGGCAAAATATCACAGAATGGCAATATATCACAGAATGGCAAAATATCACAGAATGGCAAAATATCACAGAATGGCAATATATCACAGAATGGCAATATATCACAGAATGGCAATATATCACAGAATGGCAATATATCACAGAATGGCAATATATCACAGAATGGCAAAATATCACAGAATGGCAATATATCACAGAATGGCAAAATATCACAGAATGGCAATATATCACAGAATGGCAATATATCACAGAATGGCAATATATCACAGAATGGCAATATATCACAGAATGGCAATATATCACAGAATGGCAATATATCACAGAATGGCATATCACAGAATGGCGCATCACAGAATGGCAATATATCACAGAATGGCAATATATCACAGAATGGCAATATATCACAGAATGGCATATCACAGAATGGCATATCACAGAATGGCATATCACAGAATGGCATATCACAGAATGGCATATCACAGAATGGCAATATATCACAGAATGGCAATATATCACAGAATGGCAATATATCACAGAATGGCAATATATCACAGAATGGCAATATATCACAGAATGGCATATCACAGAATGGCATATCACAGAATGGCATATCACAGAATGGCATATCACAGAATGGCATATCACAGAATGGCATATCACAGAATGGCATATCACAGAATGGCATATCACAGAATGGCAATATATCACAGAATGGCAAAATATCACAGAATGGCAATATATCACAGAATGGCAAAATATCACAGAATGGCAAAATATCACAGAATGGCAATATATCACAGAATGGCAATATATCACAGAATGGCAATATATCACAGAATGGCAAAATATCACAGAATGGCAATATATCACAGAATGGCAATATATCACAGAATGGCAATATATCACAGAATGGCAAAATATCACAGAATGGCAATATATCACAGAATGGCATATCACAGAATGGCATATCACAGAATGGCATATCACAGAATGGCAATATATCACAGAATGGCAATATATCACAGAATGGCAATGTCAAAAAATCACAATACACCAGACCGAATCACGATCCTGTCTGTATTGTGATATGTTAAGAATCACAATCATATTAAATCGCCCAAATATCGCAATACTATCAAATCCTCATTTTTGTTCCCAGCCCTATCATAGTGATGCTATAAAGACTGAGATTGTGTGCGTTCTTGTTTGTGTGACTTCAGGACGACGAGAAGTTTCTGAAAGACCTTTTTGCACAGCTGACCGACGAGGCCACAGAGGACGACAAACGCCACGAACTGGTAAAGCTTCAGACGCTCGTGACGCCGCTCTGTGTTTGACTTTTCTCACCGTGAAATGTCTTATCGCAGGTGAACTTCCTGAAAGAGTTCTGCGCTTTCTCCCAAACGCTACAACCTCAGAATCGCGACGCCTTCTTCAAGACCTTATCCAACATGGGCATCCTGCAGTCGCTAGAGGTCATCCTGGTGAGTACCGGGAATTCCAGACTTTAATATATTGTTTTTTTTATGGCAGTAGATCAGCAGAATTGAGTAGTACACAAAGGTCCTATTAATAAGTCCTCACTTATATCATCTCCATATAACAGTTTTTTGGTTCTTTGTAAAGACATAAAAGAGACCAGAACAGTCAGACTCACTTCTTACTTTTACTCACAGTTAAAAGACATAAACGTTTTTGAGTGACATTTATTAATATTACGATGTGGAACAGGTGCGGCTTAATATCCAGCTTTAACAACTACAAAATTAAAATTTGTTCTAAAAATTCAGGCTGGCGGCTCGAGGAGGTCACCTGTAGGGAGGGAGCAGAAGGAGAGTACACTAAGGAGGAGGCCACCTGTAGGGAGGGAGCAGGAGAGAGCACTAAGGAGGAGGCCACTTGTAGGGAGGGAGCAGAAGGAGAGTACACTAAGGAGGAGGCCACCTGTAGGGAGGGAGCAGGAGAGAGCACTAAGGAGGAGGCCACCTGTAGGGAGGGAGCAGGAGAGAGCACTGAGGAGGCCACCTGTAGGGAGGGAGCAGGAGAGAGCACTAAGGAGGAGGCCACCTGTAGGGAGGGAGCAGGAGAGAGCACTGAGGAGGCCACCTGTAGGGAGAGAGCAGGAGAGAGCACTAAGGAGGAGGCCACCTGTAGTGAGGGAGCAGGAGAGAGCACTAAGGAGGAGGCCACCTGTAGTGAGGGAGCAGGAGAGAGCACTAAGGAGGAGGCCACCTGTAGTGAGGGAGCAGGAGAGAGCACTAAGGAGGAGGCCACCTGTAGTGAGGGCGCAGGAGAGAGCACTAAGGAGGAGGCCACCTGTAGGGAGGGAGCAGGAGAGAGCACTAAGGAGGAGGCCACCTGTAGTGAGGGAGCAGAAGGAAAGAGTACTAAGGAGGAGGCCACCTGTAGTGAGGGAGCAGGAGAGAGCACTAAGGAGGAGGCTACCTGTAGGGAGGAGCAGGAGAGAGCACTAAGGAGGAGGCTACCTGTAGGGAGGGAGCAGGAGAGAGCACTAAGGAGGAGGCTACCTGTAGGGAGGGAGCAGGAGAGAGCACTAAGGAGGAGGCCACTTGTAGGGAGGGAGCAGGAGAGAGCACTAAGGAGGAGGCCACCTGTAGGGAGGGAGCAGGAGAGAGCACTAAGGAGGAGGCCACCTGTAGGGAGGGAGCAGGAGAGAGCACTAAGGAGGAGGCCACCTGTAGGGAGGGAGCAGGAGAGAGCACTAAGGAGGAGGCCACTTGTAGGGAGGGAGCAGGAGAGAGCACTAAGGAGGAGGCCACCTGTAGGGAGGGAGCAGGAGAGAGCACTAAGGAGGAGGCCACCTGTAGGGAGGGAGCAGGAGAGAGCACTAAGGAGGAGGCCACCTGTAGGGAGAGAGCAGGAGAGAGCACTAAGGAGGAGGCTACCTGTAGGGAGAGAGCAGGAGAGAGCACTAAGGAGGAGGCTACCTGTAGGGAGGGAGGTGTGCCACATGGTTTCTGTTGTCTGTAACTGGAGCGTGGCGTTTCCTCAGGGCATGGATGACGTCCTGGTGCGAGGGGCAGCTACAGACATCTTCTCGTACCTGGTGGAGTACAACCCGTCGATGGTGCGAGAGTTCGTGATGCAGGAGCCTCAGCAGAACAATGATGTAAGAGGGAGCCGTGAGAGCTGCTGTAGGAGCTGCTGTAGGAGCTGCACTGACTGTGTGTGTTTGTGTGTTTGTGTGTGTGTGTGTGTGTTTGTGTGTGTGTGTAGGACATCCTGCTCATCAACCTGATCATCGAGCACATGATCTGTGACACAGACCCAGAGCTAGGGGGCGCTGTGCAGCTCATGGGGCTCCTGCGGACACTGGTGGATCCAGAGAACATGCTAGCCACGGCTAACGTGAGTCTGAGAACACACAACTTGCAGAAGACACACACAACCTGCATACAGAAGACACACACAACCTGCACACAGAAGACACACACAACCTGCATACAGAAGACACACACAACCTGCATACAGAAGACACACACAACCTGCATACAGAAGACACACACAACCTGCTTGCAGAAGACAAACACAACCTGCTTGCAGAAGACACACACAACCTGCTTGCAGAAGACACACACAACCTGCATACAGAAGATACACACAACCTGCTTGCAGAAGACACACACAACCTGCTTGCAGAAGACACACACAACCTGCATACAGAAGACACACACAACCTGCTTACAGAAGACACACACACACCAATGTGAATAACGTGTCTTGCATAAGGACACTGGTTTCCACTGTGTGGTCACCCATCACAGCACTAACCAGGCTCTCATCTGCTTAGCCCCCATGAGGTTGAGACAGACCTTTGTTGAAGTAAACAATGGTCCTTTTCTTCTCCTTAAACATTTGTAGTGAGTTTGATTCTAATCTTTCTGATTGATTTTCAGAAAACTGAGAAGACAGAGTTCCTGAGTTTCTTCTATAAGCACTGTATGCATGTTCTCTCCGCGCCGCTGCTAGCTAACACCACGGAGGACACGCCTAGCAAAGGTACGGGCTGGTCCGGTCTGGTCCGGTCCCCCTCTGGTCTCGTCCATTCTACACTTTCATTATTCTCTCTTCTCCGGTTTCCCTGGTCTCTTCTCTGGTCTCTTCTCTGGTCTCTTCTCTGGTCTCTTCTCCGGTCTCTTCTCTGGTCTCTTCTCTGGTCTCTTCTCTGGTCTCTTCTCTGGTCTCTCTGGTCTCTTCTCTGGTCTCTTCTCTGGTCTCTCTGGTCTCTTCTCTGGTCTCTTCTCCGGTCTCCCTGGTCTCTTCTCTGGTCTCTTCTCTGGTCTCTTCTCCGGTCTCCCTGGTCTCTTCTCTGGTCTCTTCTCTGGTCTCCCTGGTCTCTTCTCTGGTCTCTTCTCCGGTCTCCCTGGACTCTTCTCTGGTCTCTTCTCTGGTCTCTTCTCTGGTCTCTTCTCTGGTCTCTCTGGTCTCTTCTCTGGTCTCTTCTCTGGTCTCTTCTCTGGTCTCTCTGGTCTCTTCTCTGGTCTCTTCTCCGGTCTCCCTGGTCTCTTCTCTGGTCTCCCTGGTCTCTTCTCTGGTCTCTTCTCTGGTCTCCCTGGTCTCTTCTCTGGTCTCTTCTCTGGTCTCCCTTGTCTCTTCTCTGGTCTCTTCTCTGGTCTCCCTGGTCTCTTCTCTGGTCTCTTCTCTGGTCTCCCTGGTCTCTTCTCTGGTCTCTTCTCTGGTCTCCCTGGTCTCTTCTCTGGTCTCCCTGGTCTCTTCTCTGGTCTCTTCTCTGGTCTCCCTTGTCTCTTCTCTGGTCTCTTCTCTGGTCTCCCTGGTCTCTTCTCTGGTCTCTTCTCTGGTCTCCCTGGTCTCTTCTCTGGTCTCTTCTCTGGTCTCCCTGGTCTCTTCTCTGGTCTCTTCTCTGGTCTCCCTTGTCTCTTCTCTGGTCTCTTCTCTGGTCTCTTCTCTGGTCTCTCTGGTCTCTTCTCTGGTCTCTTCTCCGGTCTCCCTGGTCTCTTCTCTGGTCTCCCTGGTCTCTTCTCTGGTCTCTTCTCTGGTCTCCCTGGTCTCTTCTCTGGTCTCTTCTCTGGTCTCCCTGGTCTCTTCTCTGGTCTCTTCTCTGGTCTCTCTGGTCTCCCTGGTCTCTTCTCTGGTCTCTTCTCTGGTCTCCCTGGTCTCTTCTCTGGTCTCTTCTCTGGTCTCTTCTCTGGTCTCTTCTCTGGTCTCCCTGGTCTCTTCTCTGGTCTCTTCTCTGGTCTCTTCTCTGGTCTCTTCTCTGGTATCTCTGGTCTCTTCTCTGGTCTCTTCTCTGGTCTCCCTGGTCTCTTCTCTGGTCTCTTCTCTGGTCTCCCTGGTCTCTTCTCTGGTCTCTTCTCTGGTCTCCCTTGTCTCTTCTCTGGTCTCTTCTCTGGTCTCCCTGGTCTCTTCTCTGGTCTCTTCTCTGGTCTCCCTGGTCTCTTCTCTGGTCTCTTCTCTGGTCTCCCTGGTCTCTTCTCTGGTCTCCCTGGTCTCTTCTCTGGTCTCTTCTCTGGTCTCCCTTGTCTCTTCTCTGGTCTCTTCTCTGGTCTCCCTGGTCTCTTCTCTGGTCTCCCTGGTCTCTTCTCTGGTCTCTTCTCTGGTCTCCCTGGTCTCTTCTCTGGTCTCTTCTCTGGTCTCCCTTGTCTCTTCTCTGGTCTCTTCTCTGGTCTCTTCTCTGGTCTCTCTGGTCTCTTCTCTGGTCTCTTCTCCGGTCTAACTGGTCTCTTCTCTGGTCTCCCTGGTCTCTTCTCTGGTCTCTTCTCTGGTCTCCCTGGTCTCTTCTCTGGTCTCTTCTCTGGTCTCCCTGGTCTCTTCTCTGGTCTCTTCTCTGGTCTCCCTGGTCTCTTCTCTGGTCTCTTCTCTGGTCTCCCTGGTCTCTTCTCTGGTCTCTTCTCTGGTCTCTTCTCTGGTCTCCCTGGTCTCTTCTCTGGTCTCTTCTCTGGTCTCTTCTCTGGTATCTCTGGTCTCTTCTCTGGTCTCTTCTCTGGTCTCCCTGGTCTCTTCTCTGGTCTCTTCTCTGGTCTCCCTGGTCTCTTCTCTGGTCTCTTCTCTGGTCTCTTCTCTGGTATCTCTGGTCTCTTCTCTGGTCTCTTCTCTGGTCTCCCTGGTCTCTTCTCTGGTCTCTTCAGCTGACAAGACAGACATGACCTTTCTGAGGAGGACCAAACTGTCACCTACAGAAAAAACAATCTAAACTTGTAGAAAGTTGACTCCCTTCGTCTGCTGTGTGGTCACGGCCACAGGGTCCTAATGCCTGCCTGTGTTTCCCCCAGACGACTTTCAGACGTCTCAGCTGCTGGCGCTGATCCTGGAGCTGCTGACCTTCTGCGTGGAGCACCACACGTACCACATCAAGAACTACATCATCAACAAAGACATCCTGCGGCGGGTGCTGGTGCTCACGGCGTCCCAGCATGCCTTTCTCGCTCTGTGTAAGCCCCCATCAGTCACACCATCTCTGTGCGGATGTGGATGCTAACGCTTGATGCTAATGCTATCCTCTTGTGCACAGGTGCGCTGCGGTTCATGCGGAGAATCATCGGACTCAAAGACGAGTTCTACAACCGCTACATCATGAGGAACTTCCTGTTTGAGCCGGTTGTCAAGGCTTTTCTGAACAACGGCTCGCGCTACAACCTCATGAACTCGGCCATCATCGAGATGTTCGAATATGTGCGCGTGGTGAGGACTGTCAATGCATTTATTTAGCCTCATTTCCACCAAGCCCACTCGACCCTACGTTACATTTTAGTATGTGGTCCCGTATCCTAGCAACCTACCCTCAACAAACCAGTATCCAGGGAGATTTCCCATGGGGCGTTCAGACCGGAACATGCTGCGGTGACTTTAATGCAAAATCAATGGTGTCATGGGACGCACGGTAGAGACGCACAGACTGAGCGGCAAAGGCGCGGCAGAGACGCAGGAGCGGAAAATCTTCGCTCGCAGGAGATAAACATCGCTCAACTTTTTCCTCGGGACGCTCGTGCAGCGACCGATCAGAGCGCCAAACCAGGACTAAACCAGGACTGACTCTGTGCTTATGAACATGTGCCTCCAGCCTGAGTTCTCATTCTTCTGTGACTGTAAACAACTGCTTCGAGCGTTTTCGCTGATGCGGAAATACTGTTTAATAATAAAATAAATGTATGGCGCTCCTCCGTGCTGCTGTTATATAAAGTCTCCTCCGTGAACACATACTTAGTCTGTGAAGGTCTCAGACACAAAGACACTGCAGCTGCATTCTTGGAGAAGAACTTTACACAAAAGCTGGTAGCTTAACTCCGTTAGCGTCAAAGCACTTCCACTGGGCGCCATTGCAGCTCAGGACTTCTGGTCTGAACACCCCGAGCTTCTGAAATTTAGAGAATGTGCGTCTAGTAGAAGCTACGTTACAGCGTCGGCTTCTGCACGCCTCATTAGAGAGAGAGACCCTGGTACTGGTTCAAGAGGAAGTAGAGCCGAGGAGGGCTGGTGGAAACGGGGCTGTAGATAGCTCTGTACAGTTGTGTACCCAAACTTTATCTGAAGCAACACACATTCTGCTGTTACATATAAATGATTAGCCTTCTACATGATATTCTTTGTTGTTCAGGTGTTTGCTAACATGTGTGTGTTGTTTAGATGTTTGCTAACATGTGTGTGTTGTTCAGGTGTTTGCTAACCTGTGTGTGTTGTTCAGGTGTTTGCTAACCATGTGTGTGTTGTTTAGATGTGTAACATGTGTGTGTTGTTTAGATGTTTGCTAACATGTGTGTGTTGTTTAGATGTTTGCTAACATGTGTGTGTTGTTTTGTTTGCTAACATGTGTGTGTTGTTCAGGTGTTTGCTAACATGTGTGTGTTGTTCAGGTGTTTGCTAACCTGTGTGTGTTGTTCAGGTGGTATGCTACCTGTGTGGTGGTTCCGGTCTTGGCTACGCTGTGTGTGATGTCCAGATGTTGCTCAGTGTGTGTTGTTCAGTGTTTGCTCACGGTGTGTGTTGTTCAGGTGTTTGCTAACCGGTGTGTGGTGGTGTCAGGTGTTTGGCTAACCTGTTGTGTTGTTCAGATGTTTGCTAACGTGTGTGTTGTTCCGGATGGTTGTAACATGAGTGAGTTGTTCAGTCGTGTTTGCTAACCTGTGTGGGGTGTTGTTCAGAGGTGGTTTGCTAACCTGTGTGTGTTGTTCAGTGTTTGCTAAACCTGTGTGTGTTGTTCAGGTGTTTGCTAACATGTGTGTGTTGTTCAGGTGTTTGCTAACCTGTGTGTGTTGTTCAGGTGTTTGCTAACCTGTGTGTGTTGTTCAGGTGTTTGCTAACATGTGTGTGTTGTTCAGATGTTTGCTAACATGTGTGTGTTGTTCAGGTGTTTGCGATCCTGTGTGTGGGTTCAGGTGTTTGCTAACCTGTGTGTGATGTTCAGGTGTTTGCTAACATGTGTGGTGTTGTTCAGGGGTGTTTGCTAACATGTGTGTGTTGTTCAGGTGTTTGCTAACATGTGTGTGTTGTTTAGATGTTTGCTAACCTGTGTGTGTTGTTCAGGTGTTTGCTAACCTGTGTGTGTTGTTCAGTGTTTGTAACATGTGTGTGTTGTTTAGAGTGTGTTGCTAACATGTGGTGGTGTTCAGGAGGACATACAAGTCTCTCACCGGCACACGACGTGTACCTACTTGCAAAGCAGGAAGTGACATCTCCTACCTTAGACACAATGGACTATGTACGATACGAAGCAGCGAGCGCGAGGACCCCCCCAAACTGACAGGTGACTTTCTCCACTTCGTCCAAATCCATCAGCCGTGTCTGTACCACTAGACAGACCCCATTATGGACGGGGACGGAGACAAGAAGGGGCCAACACACGGCAAAGAAATTGAACCGTGGCTCCAGGACGATAACCGGGAGGAGGGGGCTGTAGTACTGTCACACGCCTGGGGTGGGACGAGGGGAGGGAGACCAGAGAGAGAGGGAGGGAGGGAGGGAGACCAGAGAGAGAGGAGGGATGGGAGAGGAGAGGGAGGGAGGACCAGGACGAGAGGGAGGAGGGAGACCAGGACGAGAGGGAGGAGGGAGGACCAGACGAGAGAGGGAGGGAGGGACCAGGACGAGAGGGAGGGGAGGGAGACCAGGACGAGAGGGAGCGAGGGAGGACCAGGACGAGAGGGAGCGAGGGAGGACCAGGACGAGAGGGAGGGAGGGAGGACCAGGACGAGAGGGAGGGAGGGAGGACCAGGACGAGAGGAGGAGGGAGGACCAGGACGAGAGGGAGGGAGGGAGGACCAGGACGAGAGGGAGGGAGGGAGGACCAGGACGAGAGAGGGACAGGGAGAGGGAGGACCAGGACGAGAGGGAGGGAGGGAGGACCAGGAAGAGAGGGAGGACCAGGACGAGAGAGGAGGGGACCAGGAGGGAGGACCAGGACGAGAGGGAGGGAGGACCAGGACGAGAGGGAGGAGGAGGACCAGGACGAGAGGAGGAGGGAGGACCAGGACGAGAGGGAGCGAGGGAGGACCAGGACGAGAGGGAGCGAGGGAGGACCAGGACGAGAGGGAGGGAGGGAGGACCAGGACGAGAGGGAGGAGGGAGGACCAGGACGAGAGGGAGCGAGGGAGGACCAGGACGAGAGGGAGAGGAGGGAGGACCAGGACGAGAGGGAGGGAGGGAGGACCAGGACGAGAGGGAGGAGGGAGGACCAGGACGAGAGGGAGGAGGGAGGACCAGGACGAGAGGGAGCGAGGGAGGACCAGGACGAGAGGGAGCGAGGGAGGACCAGGACGAGAGGGAGGAGGGAGGACCAGGACAGAGGGAGGGAGGAGGACCAGGACGAGAGGGAGGACCAGGACGAGAGGGGAGAGGAGGGAGGGAGGACCAGGACGAGAGGGAGGGAGGGAGGACCAGGACGACGAGGGAGGGAGGGAGGGGACCAGGACGAGAGGGAGCGAGGGAGGACCTGGACGAGAGGGAGCGAGGGAGGACCAGGACGAGAGGGAGGGAGGGAGGACCAGGACGAGAGGGAGGGAGGGAGGACCAGGGACGAGAGAGGGAGCGAGGGAGGACCAGGACGAGAGGGAGCGAGGGAGGACCAGGACGAGAGGGAGGGAGGGAGGACCAGGACGAGAGGGAGGACCAGGACGAGAGGGAGGAGACCAGGACGAGAGGGAGGGAGGGAGGACCAGGAAGAGAGGGAGGACCAGGACGAGAGGGAGGGAGGGAGGACCAGGAAGAGAGGGAGGACCAGGACGAGAGGGAGGGAGGGAGGACCAGGACGAGAGGGAGCGAGGGAGGACCAGGACGAGAGGGAGCGAGGGAGGACCAGGACGAGAGGGAGGACCAGGACGAGAGGGAGAGAGGGAGGACCAGGACGAGAGGGAGCGAGGGAGGACCAGGACGAGAGGGAGCGAGGGAGGACCAGGACGAGAGGGAGGGAGGGAGGACCAGGACGAGAGGGAGGGAGGGAGGACCAGGACGAGAGGGAGCGAGGGAGGACCAGGACGAGAGGGAGCGAGGGAGGACCAGGACGAGAGGGAGGGAGGGAGGACCAGGACGAGAGGGAGGACCAGGACGAGAGGGAGAGAGGGAGGACCAGGACGAGAGGGAGGGAGGGAGGACCAGGACGAGAGGGAGGGAGGGAGGACCAGGACGAGAGGGAGCGAGGGAGGACCTGGACGAGAGGGAGCGAGGGAGGACCAGGACGAGAGGGAGGGAGGGAGGACCAGGACGAGAGGGAGGGAGGGAGGACCAGGACGAGAGGGAGAGAGGGAGGACCAGGACGAGAGGGAGCGAGGGAGGACCAGGACGAGAGGGAGCGAGGGAGGACCTGGACGAGAGGGAGCGAGGGAGGACCTGGACGAGAGGGAGGACCAGGACGAGAGGGAGAGAGGGAGGACCAGGACGAGAGGGAGCGAGGGAGGACCAGGACGAGAGGGAGCGAGGGAGGACCTGGACGAGAGGGAGGACCAGGACGAGAGGGAGAGAGGGAGGACCAGGACGAGAGGGAGGGAGGGAGGACCAGGACGAGAGGGAGAGAGGGAGGACCAGGACGAGAGGGAGCGAGGGAGGACCTGGACTAGAGGGAGGACCAGGACGAGAGGGAGGGAGGGAGGACCAGGACGAGAAGGAGGAAGGGAGGACCTGGACGAGAGGGAGCGAGGGAGGACCAGGACGAGAGGGAGGGAGGGAGGACCAGGACGAGAGGGAGGGAGGGAGGACCAGGACGAGAGGGAGCGAGGGAGGACCAGGACGAGAGGGAGCGAGGGAGGACCAGGACGAGAGGGAGGACCAGGACGAGAGGGAGGACCAGGACGAGAGGGAGAGAGGGAGGACCAGGACGAGAGGGAGGGAGGGAGGACCAGGACGAGAGGGAGGGAGGGAGGACCAGGACGAGAGGGAGCGAGGGAGGACCTGGACGAGAGGGAGCGAGGGAGGACCTGGACGAGAGGGAGCGAGGGAGGACCTGGACGAGAGGGAGGACCAGGACGAGAGGGAGGACCAGGACGAGAGGGAGCGAGGGAGGACCTGGACGAGAGGGAGCGAGGGAGGACCTGGACGAGAGGGAGGGAGGGAGGACCAGGACGAGAGGGAGAGAGGGAGGACCAGGACGAGAGGGAGCGAGGGAGGACCAGGACGAGAGGGAGCGAGGGAGGACCTGGACGAGAGGGAGCGAGGGAGGACCAGGACGAGAGGGAGCGAGGGAGGACCTGGACGAGAGGGAGCGAGGGAGGACCTGGACGAGAGGGAGGACCAGGACGAGAGGGAGAGAGGGAGGACCAGGACGAGAGGGAGCGAGGGAGGACCAGGACGAGAGGGAGCGAGGGAGGACCTGGACGAGAGGGAGGACCAGGACGAGAGGGAGAGAGGGAGGACCAGGACGAGAGGGAGGGAGGGAGGACCAGGACGAGAGGGAGCGAGGGAGGACCAGGACGAGAGGGACCAGGACGAGAGGGAGGGAGGGAGGACCAGGGAGAGGGAGCGAGGGAGGACCAGGACGAGAGGGAGGGAGGGAGGACCAGGACGAGAGGGAGGACCAGGACGAGAGGGAGGGAGGGAGGACCAGGACGAGAGGGAGGGAGGGAGGACCAGGACGAGAGGGAGCGAGGGAGGACCTGGACGAGAGGGAGAGAGGGAGGACCAGGACGAGAGGGAGCGAGGGAGGACCAGGACGAGAGGGAGGGAGGGAGGACCAGGACGAGAGGGAGGGAGGGAGGACCAGGACGAGAGGGAGAGAGGGAGGACCAGGACGAGAGGGAGCGAGGGAGGACCAGGACGAGAGGGAGCGAGGGAGGACCAGGACGAGAGGGAGGACCAGGACGAGAGGGAGAGAGGGAGGACCAGGACGAGAGGGAGGGAGGGAGGACCAGGACGAGAGGGAGAGAGGGAGGACCAGGACGAGAGGGAGCGAGGGAGGACCTGGACTAGAGGGAGGACCAGGACGAGAGGGAGGGAGGGAGGACCAGGACGAGAGGGAGGAAGGGAGGACCAGGACGAGAGGGAGCGAGGGAGGACCAGGACGAGAGGGAGGGAGGGAGGACCAGGACGAGAGGGAGCGAGGGAGGACCAGGACGAGAGGGAGCGAGGGAGGACCAGGACGAGAGGGAGGGAGGGAGGACCAGGACGAGAGGGAGGACCAGGACGAGAGGGAGAGAGGGAGGACCAGGACGAGAGGGAGGGAGGGAGGACCAGGACGAGAGGGAGGGAGGGAGGACCAGGACGAGAGGGAGCGAGGGAGGACCTGGACGAGAGGGAGCGAGGGAGGACCTGGACGAGAGGGAGCGAGGGAGGACCTGGACGAGAGGGAGGACCAGGACGAGAGGGAGAGAGGGAGGACCAGGACGAGAGGGAGCGAGGGAGGACCAGGACGAGAGGGAGCGAGGGAGGACCTGGACGAGAGGGAGCGAGGGAGGACCAGGACGAGAGGGAGCGAGGGAGGACCTGGACGAGAGGGAGCGAGGGAGGACCTGGACGAGAGGGAGGACCAGGACGAGAGGGAGAGAGGGAGGACCAGGACGAGAGGGAGCGAGGGAGGACCAGGACGAGAGGGAGCGAGGGAGGACCTGGACGAGAGGGAGGACCAGGACGAGAGGGAGGACCAGGACGAGAGGGAGGGAGGGAGGCCCCGAGACGAGAGGGAGAGAGGGAGGACCAGGACGAGAGGGAGCGAGGGAGGACCTGGACTAGAGGGAGGACCAGGACGAGAGGGAGGACCAGGACGAGAGGGAGGGAGGGAGGACCAGGACGAGAGGGAGGAAGGGAGGACCAGGAACGAGAGGGAGGACCAGGACGAGAGGGAGGACCAGGACGAGAGGAGGAGAGGAGGACCAGGACGAGAGAGAGAGGCCCAGAGAGAGAGAGAGGCCCAGAGAGAGACCAGAGAGAGACCAGAGAGAGACCATAAGAGACCATAGAGACCACAGACCATAGAGAGACCAGAGAGAGACCATAGAGAGACCAGAGAGAGACCAGAGAGAGACCAGAGAGAGACCAGAGAGAGACCAGAGAGAGACCAGAGAGACCAGAGAGAGGAGAGAGAGAGGAGACCGGGAGAGACCAGAGAGAGACCAAAAGAGAGACCAGAGAAGAGACCAGAGAGAGAGACCAGAGACCAGAGAGACCAGAGACCAGAGACCAGAGAGAGACCAGAGAGAGAGACCAGGAGAGACCAGAGAGAGACCAGAGAGAGACCAGAGAGAGACCAGAGAGAGAGACCAGAGAGAGACCAGGAGAGAGACCAGAGAGAGACCAGAGAGAGACCAGAGAGAGACCAGTAGAGAGACCAGAGAGAGACCAGAGAGAGACGCACAGAGAGAGACCAGGGGGAAGAGGGCACAGAGAGACCAGGGGGAGAGAGCGAGAGAGAGACCAGGGGGAGAGAGCACAGAGAGAGACCAGGGGGAGAGAGCACAGAGAGAGACCAGGGGGAGAGAGCACAGAGAGAGACCAGGGGGAGAGAGCACAGAGAGAGACCAGGGGGAGAGAGCACAGAGAGAGAGACCGGGGGAGAGCACACAGAGAGAGACCAGAGGGAGAGGGCACAGAGACCAGGGGGAGAGAGCACAGAGACCAGGGGGAGAGAGCGAGAGAGAGACCAGGGAGAGAGCACAGAGAGAGACCAGGGGGAGAGAGCGAGAGAGAGACCAGGGAGAGAGCACAGAGAGACCAGGGGGAGAGAGCACAGAGAGACCAGGGAGAGAGAGACCAGGGAGAGAGACCAGGGGGAGAGAGCACAGAGAGAGAGAGAGACCAGGGGGAGAGAGCACAGAAAGAGAGACCAGGGGGAGAGCGCACAGAGAGAGAGTACTGTGATGGGAGACCTCTGGGAACAGCAGGTGTCACAGTGGGGCAGCTGTAAAGTGCCAAACTGTGGTTGTGTCCTTGGGCAAGACACTTCCCCCACATTAGAATGAGTCTGGTTGGTGGTGGTGGGAGGGGCCGCAGGGATCAAAGAAATGGTCAAAAGTAGCATGTTTCAGTTTGGCAAACGTGGTTTTAACGGTGTATTCTTGAATGAATGAACCTGTGAAGTACTTTTATTTAAACGGTAAAAGCATCACAGAGAAAGTCTTAATAATCTTTTTATTTAGATCATTAACAGAAACCATCGTAGACATTGAACCAAGAAATGTGTCTTTTGAAGTAGGAGGGTTTGAAAATGTTTATTCTTCTGGAACATGAGACAAATACCAACTCTGGAAATCCACAAAACCTCCCTGGGATTTAATAAACAGACGAATTTACAAACCGCACAAAAACATGCGTTTTGTGAAAAAAACCCAAAAACAAGTATTTCCAAAGACCCATGGACTGTTAGTGGACCGAGGGCGTGACATCACCACAGTGGTTAATGTGGTAGATGCTGATCTGACCATAAGCTGGAGCCACTTTCCTTATATGGGCATTTGCTTCCTGCTGTAACAGTGTTGCTAAGGTGGTTGCTAAGGTAAGATGGAGCTTCCCTCGCACATGAAGGCTTCTGATTGGTCACTCCTTACATGGCTCATATACAATATTAACATGGGGATCACAGAGAGCGCTTCATGGTGCGGCACAAACCAGTTTACTTTGACGTGAAAGACCATGGAACATTCTCTGAAAACGTTTTATTTCAATCAATAAAGATTTAAATAGAATAAGGAATAGATCATTCAATTAGTAATGTCTTGATGAGAGACCACAGAGAGACCAGCGACCAGAGGGAGACCAGAGAGACCACAGAGAGACACCAGAGAGAGACTAGAGGGAACAGAGAGATTAGAGAGACCAGAGACAGACCAAGAAGAAACCAGAGACCATCTGTATACAGTCCATGTAAAATTCTCTGAAAAGAACATTTTATTCCCAAAGGCCATGAACAGGACAAACACAAAACAAACGTTGTCATGGAGACGACAGTAAACGGCGCAGCGTCAGCTTAAAAGTCGAGCGTTCGTACAAACGAGAGGCTTCACATCAAATCATCAGAAAATAAACTAATAAAAATAGATGCCATTTAAAGACTTGATTTCACCCCAATAACAAACATTTAAAAAAGCACAAAACAAAACCTCGATCTCTCTCGGACTTAGAAATATATGAGTGAAGGGTCCGGGGGTCACTGGGCCTGCTGGGCCTGGCAGGGGGGAGGGCTTCGGGAGTCACTGTGCCTGGCAGGGGGGAGGGCTCCGGGAGTCACTGGGCCTGCTGGGCCTGGCAGGGGGGAGGGCTCCGGGAGTCACTGGGCCTGCTGGGCCTGGCAGGGGGGAGGGCTCCGGGAGTCACTGGGCCTGCTGGGCCTGGCAGGGGGGAGGGCTCCGGGGGTCACTTGGCCGCCTGCTGGGCCTGGCAGGGCTCCGGGGGTCACTTGGCCTGCTGGGCCTGGCAGGGGGGAGGGCTCCGGGGGTCACTTGGCCGCCTGCTGGGCCTGGCAGGGGGGAGGGCTCTGGGGGTCATCTGGCCGCCTGCTGGGCCTGGCAGGGGGGAGGGCTCCGGGGGTCATCTGGCCGCCTGCTGGGCCTGGCAGGGCTCCGGGGGTCACTTGGCCTGCTGGGCCTGGCAGGGGGGAGGGCTCCGGGAGTCACTGGGCCTGGCAGGGGGGAGGGCTCCGGGAGTCACTGGGCCTGCTGGGCCTGGCAGGGGGGAGGGCTCCGGGGGTCATCTGGCCGCCTGCTGGGCCTGGCAGGGCTCCGGGGGTCACTCGGCCTGCTGGGCCTGGCAGGGGGGAGGGCTCCGGGGGTCACTTGGCCGCCTGTTGGGCCTGGCAGGGGTGAGGCCTCCGGCGGTCACTTGGCCGCCTGCTGGGCCTGGCAGGGGTGAGGCCTCCGGCGGTCACTTGGCCGCCTGCTGGGCCTGGCAGGGGGGAGGGCTCCGGGGGTCACTGGGCCTGCTGGGCCTGGCAGGGGGGAGGGCTCCGGGGGTCACTGGGCCTGCTGGGCCTGGCAGGGGGGAGGGCTCCGGGAGTCACTGGGCCTGCTGGGCCTGGCAGGGGGGAGGGCTCCGGGGGTCACTGGGCCTGCTGGGCCTGGCAGGGGGGAGGGCTCCGGGGGTCACTGGGCCTGCTGGGCCTGGCAGGGGGGAGGGCTCCGGGGGTCACTGGGCCTGCTGGGCCTGGCAGGGGGGAGGGCTTCGGGGGTTACTTGGCCGCCTGCTGGGCCTGGCGCCGCAGCAGAACATAGATCTTCTCTTTGATCCAGTCTTTGTTGTACGGCTGGTACGTTTGTGTGTCCGCCCTGTACCTGCAACACACACACACACACACATTTTACACACACACACATAATACGCAGGGGCCTCAACCTCCTCACACCAGGAACTATAAAGGTGCGTTCAGACCGGACTTAACTTTCACTTAAAAAGCGTCAAGTTTGCATTGAAAGTGAAAGGTGAAGCGCGTCAGGTCGATGTCACTTTAAGCTTTTGACGCGCGAATCGCTCGCGTCTCTTTCGGCGTCAAAAAATCCCTTGACGCCAAAGTTGAGCAAAGCTGAGCTTTTGAAGCTTTGACGTGGGCTTCAACCAATCAGGAGACGAGGAGCAGCAGCTGTGGGTCTGTCTCTGTCATGAAGAGAAGTCATGTATCTGCTGCTGCTGTTGTTTTATTGTCATTAATGTTATTAGCAATATTATTTGTTTGACAGCAGACTGACAGACAGACAGCAGACTGACAGACGGCAGACTGACAGACAGCAGACTGACAGACAGCAGACTGACAGACGGCAGACTGACAGACGGCAGACTGACAGACTGACAGACGGCAGACTGACAGACGGCAGACTGACAGACGGCAGACTGACAGACTGACAGACTGACAGACGGCAGACTGACAGACTGACAGACGGCAGACTGACAGACTGACAGACGGCAGACTGACAGACGGCAGACTGACAGACTGACAGACGGCAGACTGACAGACTGACAGACGGCAGACTGACAGACGGCAGACTGACAGACGGCAGACTGACAGACGGCAGACTGACAGACGGCAGACGGCAGACTGACAGACAGCAGACTGACAGACAGGCGCTCCTCTGCGGGAGAGAGGCGACCGATGCGAGCTCCAGGCAGGAGCGAGGCAGGGGGCGGGGACTTGTCCTGGACGAGTGACTTGGGGAAGCACCGCTGAAATCCAAACTCCTGTCGGCAGCTCCTGGAGTAAATGACACTGCAGCGTCTCAAGTCTGTGGTGAACCCAGAACATGTTTTGTAGAAGCCCCACGACAACGTTATTTGGCTTTATATAACAAATAACACCGTTGTCTTGACGACCGGCAACAGTGAAGCTCCTCCCACCGGCGTCAGGCGCATCAGGAGCTTCAAGCACCAAGGCGTTCACACCAGACCCAGCGTCAAAAGCTTTTGTCTGAACGCGCCTCAACAGGGCTCTCAAGGCTGTATTAATCCAAAAATATACCTCATATTATTTACTATTGTAAATGCACTTATTTTGTCACTTTTAACAAATATGTGATTATAGATAATGATTGTTCCCAATGTCAGGCTCATTCACACTGATATACAGTGCCTTGCGAAAGTATTCGGCCCCCTTGAACCTTTCAACATTTTGCCAGATTTCAGTCTTCAAACATAAAGATATAAAAATTATTTTTTTTGTCAAGAATCAACAAAAAGTGGGACACAATCGTTAAGTTGAACCAAATTTATTGGATAATTTAAAACTGAAAAGTGGGGCGTGCAATATTATTGGGCCCCTTTACTTTCAGTGCAGCAAACTCAGTCCAGAAGTTCAGTGAGGATCTTTGAATGATCCAATGTTGTCCTAAATGACTGATGATGATAAATAGAATGCACCTGTGTGTAATCAAGTCTCCGTATAAATGCACCTGCTCTTTGATAGTCTCAGGGTTCTGTTTAAAGCGCAGAGAGAACCATGAAGACAAAGGAACACACCAGGCAGGTCCGAGATACTGTTGTGGAGAAGTTTAAAGCCGGATTTGGATACAAAAAGATTTCCCAAGCTTTAAACATCTCAAGGAGCACTGTGCAAGCAATTATATTGAAATGGAAAGAGTATCAGACCACTGCAAATCTACCAAGACCCGGCCGTCCCTCCAAACTTTCATCTCAAACAAGGAGAAGACTGATCAGAGATGCAGCCAAGAGGCCCATGATCACTCTGGATGAACTGCAGATAACTACAGCTGAGGTGGGAGAGTCTGTCCATAGGACAACAATCAGTCGTGCACTGCACAAATCTGGCCTTTATGGAAGAGTGGCAAGAAGAAAGCCATTTCTCAAAGATATCCAATAAAAGTCTCTTAAAGTTTGCCACAAGCCACCTGGGAGACACACCAAACATGTGGAAGAAGGTGCTCTGGTCAGATGAAACCAAAATCTAACTTTTTGGCCACAATGCAAAACGATATGTTTGGCATAAAAGCAACACAGCTCATCACCCTGAACACACCATCCCCACTGTCAAACATGGTGGTGGCAGCATCATGCTTTGGGCCTGCTTTTCTTCAGCAGGGACAGGGAAGATGGCTAAAATTGATGGGAAGATGGATGGAGCCAAATACAGGACCATTCTGGAAGAAAACCTGTTGGAGTCTGCAAAAGACCTGAGACTGGGACGGAGATTTATCTTCCAACAGGACAATGATCCAAAACATAAAGCCAAATCTACAATGGAATGGTTCACAAATAGACGTATCCAGGTGTTAGAATGGCCAAGTCAAAGTCCAGACCTGAATCCAATCGAGAATCTGTGGAAAGACCTGAAGACTGCTGTTCACAAACGCTCTCCATCCAACCTCACTGAGCTCCAGCTGTTTTGCAAGGAAGAATGGGCAAGAGTTCCAGTCTCTCGATGTGCAAAACTGATAGAGACATACCCCAAGCGACTTGCAGCTGTAATTGCAGCAAAAGGTGGCGCTACAAAGTATTAGCGCAAGGGGCCGAATAATATTGCACGCCCCACTTTTCAGTTTTTTATTTGTTAAAAAAGTTTAAATTATCCAATAAATTTAGTTCCACTTCACGATTGTGTCCCACTTGTTGTTGATTCTTGACAAAAAAAAATATTTTTATATCTTTATGTTTGAAGCCTGAAATCTGCCAAAATGTTGAAAGGTTCAAGGGGGCCGAATACTTTGTATCTCCACATTTTACCAGGGTTAGCTTAAAAGGAGTAGCTCTCTGGGTGAAAAAGGTTGGAGTATCTGGGTATTACTATCTTATAGCTGTCCCACCCATGGCCACAGGGGGCTAAATCCTTTGCTTTTCTATAAATCCAAACTTTGCTCATTTTCCTCTTGCTCTAACTCCGCTCTGATTGGTCAGAGTGCTGCCTCTCTGTGCCACACACGTCATTGTAAGTATTTGGCGCAAAGCATCATGGGAGCTTGTCCACTGCACAGAACCGGGAGGACCAGAGAAATGGCCAGATAAGGGTGAGTTCTGGGGCTTGGGTTAAACCGAGACAGTACGACTCTGAGGGACCAGGAGAGCCCCGTTTCCACCAACACCACTCCACTCTGCGCAGCACCAGGTCCGTCTTTAGTCTCTCTTTAGTCTCTCTTGGTCCTGGTTCTGTCCAGGCCAAACTGGTGCGAAAGTGTTCTAACTGACAGACTGGACAAAGTGCTGCTGGAAGTTGTGGAAAGTGAGTCATGTTTATGTAAGTAGCGCATTTTATAGTCCAAAGTTACTCAAAGCTTTGGACTGAAGCAAGACCTGAACACACTGGTCCATCAAAGCCACTGACCAAACACCCTGCATCCATTCACTCATTACATTCAGACCTATTGTACATGTTTTTAGTGGTGGAGGAAACCTGCATATACACGGGGAGAACATGCAAACTACACACAGAGGTCTGGAGATGGAATTGAACCCTCCAGTGCCACAGGAGTTTCCACAGATACTGTTGGACTTGAGTGGGGCAGAGTGGTGCAGAGTGGTGCAGAGTGGTGCAGAGTGGTGCAAAGTGGTGCAGAGTGGGGCAGAGTGGGGCAGAGTGGGGCAGAGTGGTGCAGAGTGGTGCAGAGTGGTGCAGAGTGGTGCAAAGTGGTGCAGAGTGGTGCAGAGTGGGGCAGAGTGGTGCAGAGTGGGGCAGAGTGGGGCAGAGTGGTGCAGAGTGGTGCAGAGTGGTGCAGAGTGGTGCAGAGTGGTGCAGAGTGGTGCAGAGTGGTGCAGGAGTGCGAGAGGGGCAGAGTGGGGCAGAGTGGGGCAGAGTGGGGCAGAGTGGGGCAGAGTGGGGCAGAGTGGGGCAGAGTGGGGCAGAGTGGGGCAGAGTGGGGCAGAGTGGGGCAGAGTGGGGCAGAGTGGGGCAGAGTGGGGCAGAGTGGTGCAGAGTGGTGCAGAGTGGGGCAGAGTGGGGCAGAGTGGTGCAGAGTGGGGCAGAGTGGTGCAGAGTGGGGCAGAGTGGGGCAGAGTGGTGCAGAGTGGGGCAGAGTGGGGCAGAGTGGGGCAGAGTGGTGCAGAGTGGGGCAGAGTGGTGCAGAGTGGGGCAGAGTGGGGCAGAGTGGGGCAGAGTGGGGCAGAGTGGGGCAGAGTGGTGCAGAGTGGGGCAGAGTGGGGCAGAGTGGGGCAGAGTGGGGCAGAGTGGGGCAGAGTGGGGCAGAGTGGTGCAGAGTGGTGCAGAGTGGGGCAGAGTGGTGCAGAGTGGGGCAGAGTGGGGCAGAGTGGGGCAGAGTGGGGCAGAGTGGGGCGGTGGAAACAGGGCTCTTTCTCTGAGTCACTGACGGTCGCCATGACCCGAGGACAGCCAGAGCCAGGGAATTGTTTACATTAGATTAGATTTCATTTATCGTCTGTTTGGTCTGTTTCAGATTCTGATGCTCGCCGTGAGGGAAACAAAGCATCTGTGGTACTGAATCATTTATATGTACCGCATAAGTACGTCTATCTACTGATTACCCTGCCCTACATGTACAGTATATCACTTTGCAGTATATATATTTTGAAGGACTGTTATTGAAGCATTTACAGCTAGCAAAGTCCAAAGCTCCGTTCCACATGTGTGTCAATGCTGAGGGAGTGTTTAAGGTCCAGTCTAGTTTAGTCGCTGTGATTTTTTGAAGTCTCTCGTTCAAATGAATGGAGCTGCTCCGGCTGACGCATGCACAGATGTGTTTTTTCACAATGTTCTTGTGGGTGGGACCACTCGCGGCCATTTTGGATTGCTCCAGTAGAGCACATTTTTTGGCCCATTAGTTAGAACGGTGGAGATAGGCGTGACTCTGTCCGTTAATATTTACAGTCTATGGTCTCACTACATCCCAAACATTTACGGTCTTTGCTCGTTACGTTCAAGGTCGGACTTTATACATTTCCATCAGAGACAGAGCTGAGGCAGAACGACGTAACCTGCTGTTCACATGTTTCTGGACATGTTTTCTCACATGATCCCTCACACGGAGGTCACATGATCCCTCACACGGAGGTCACATGATCCCTCACACGGAGGTCACATGATCCCTCACACAGAGGTCACATGATCCCTCACACAGAGGTCACATGATCCCTCACACAGAGGTCACATGATCCCTCACACAGAGGTCACATGATCCCTCACACAGAGGTCACATGATCCCTCACACAGAGGTCACATGATCACTCACACGAGGCAGCTGAGATCGGCCAAGTCGTCGATGAAGTCGAACAGTTGGCTGATGTCGTAGGTGATGGACGGACTGTTGGGGTTCATCCGCTTCAGGTGCTCCTCGTACATTTTACAGACTCCTAAAAACATGGATCTGTCAGAAACCGCCGCAGAAGAAAGTAACAGACAACAACAGTTGGTGACAGACGGTAACAGACGGCGACAGACGGTAACAGACGGTGACAGACGGTAACAGACGGTAACAGACGGTAACAGACGGTAACAGACGGTGACAGACGGTAACAGACGGTGACAGACGGTAACAGACGGTAACTGTAACAGACGGTAACAGACGGTAACGGTAACAGACGGTGACAGACGGTAACAGACGGTAACAGACGGTGACAGACGGTAACAGACGGTAACAGACGGTAACAGACGGTGACAGACGGTAACAGACGGTGACAGACGGTAACAGACGGTGACAGACGGTAACAGACGGTAACGGTAACAGACGGTGACAGACGGTAACAGACGGTAACAGACGGTAACAGACGGTAACAGACGGTAACAGACGGTGACAGACGGTAACAGACGGTGACAGACGGTAACAGACGGTGACAGACGGTAACAGACGGTGACGGTAACAGACGGTGACAGACAGTGACAGACGGTAACAGACAGTGACGGTAACGGTAACAGACAGTGATGTAACAGACGGTGACAGACAGTGACGGTAACAGACGGTGACAGACAGTGATGTAACAGACGGTGACAGACAGTGATGTAACAGACGGTAACAGACGGTGACAGACGGTGACAGACAGTGACGTAACAGACGGTGACAGACGGTGACAGACAGTGATGTAACAGACGGTGACAGACAGTGATGTAACAGACGGTGACAGACAGTGATGTAACAGACGGTGACAGACAGTGACGGTAACAGACGGTGACAGACAGTGACGGTAACAGACGGTGACAGACAGTGACGGTAACAGACGGTGACAGACAGTGACAGACAGTGACAGACGGTGACAGACAGTGACGGTAACAGACGGTGACAGACAGTGACGGTAACAGACGGTGACGGTAACAGACGGTGACAGACAGTGACGGTGACAGACAGTGATGTAACAGACGGTGACAGACAGTGACGGTAACAGACGGTGACAGACAGTGACGGTGACAGACAGTGACGGTAACAGACGGTGACAGACAGTGACAGACGGTGACAGACAGTGACGGTAACAGACGGTGACAGACAGTGACGGTGACAGACAGTGATGTAACAGACGGTGACAGACAGTGACGGTAACAGACGGTGACAGACAGTGACGGTAACAGACGGTGACAGACAGTGATGTAACAGACGGTGACAGACAGTGACGGTGACAGACAGTGACGGTAACAGACGGTGACAGACAGTGACGGTGACAGACAGTGATGTAACAGACGGTGACAGACAGTGACGGTAACAGACGGTGACAGACAGTGACGGTGACAGACGGTGACAGACAGTGACAGACGGTGACAGACAGTGACAGACGGTGACAGACAGTGACGGTAACAGACAGTGACAGACAGTGACGGTAACAGACGGTGACAGACAGTGACGGTGACAGACAGTGACGGTAACAGACGGTGACAGACAGTGATGTAACAGACGGTGACAGACAGTGACGGTGACAGACAGTGACAGACAGTGACGGTGACAGACGGTGACAGACAGTAACAGACGGTGACAGACAGTGACGGTAACAGACGGTGACAGACAGTGACGGTAACAGACGGTGACAGACAGTGACGGTGACAGACGGTGACAGACAGTGACAGACAGTGACAGACGGTGACAGACAGTGACAGACGGTGACAGACAGTGACGGTAACAGACAGTGACAGACAGTGACGGTAACAGACGGTGACAGACAGTGACGGTGACAGACAGTGACGGTAACAGACGGTGACAGACAGTGATGTAACAGACGGTGACAGACAGTGACGGTGACAGACAGTGACGGTAACAGACGGTGACGGTAACAGACGGTGACAGACAGTGACGGTGACAGACAGTGATGTAACAGACGGTGACAGACAGTGACGGTAACAGACGGTGACAGACAGTGACGGTAACAGACGGTGACAGACAGTGACGGTAACAGACAGTGACAGACAGTGACGGTAACAGACAGTGACGGTAACAGACGGTGACAGACAGTGATGTAACAGACGGTGACAGACAGTGACGGTGACAGACAGTGACGGTGACAGACAGTGACGGTAACAGACGGTGACGGTAACAGACGGTGACAGACAGTGACGGTGACAGACAGTGATGTAACAGACGGTGACAGACAGTGACGGTAACAGACGGTGACAGACAGTGACGGTAACAGACGGTGACAGACGGTAACAGACGGTGACAGACGGTGACAGACAGTGACAGACGGTGACAGACAGTGACAGACGGTGACAGACAGTGACAGACAGTGACAGACGGTGACAGACAGTGACAGACGGTGACAGACAGTGACGGTAACAGACGGTGACAGACAGTGATGTAACAGACGGTGACAGACAGTGACAGACGGTGACAGACAGTGACAGACGGTGACAGACAGTGACGGTAACAGACGGTGACAGACAGTGATGTAACAGACGGTGACAGACAGTGACAGACGGTGACAGACAGTGACAGACGGTGACAGACAGTGACGGTAACAGACGGTGACAGACAGTGATGTAACAGACGGTGACAGACAGTGACAGACGGTGACAGACAGTGACAGACGGTGACAGACAGTGATGTAACAGACGGTGACAGACAGTGACAGACAGTGACAGACGGTAACAGAGCGTACCTTCCATGCACTCGTTCACAGACTCGTAGTCTGCGTACGTGCGGCCCTCGGGTCTCTTGGTCGGCTGCACCAGAAGGATCGTGTGTGACTGCAGCAAAAACATTAAAAACACATGAAATACATCCAGGTTTTATTTTAGTGAAGTCTGTTCTTCACGAGCTTCAACCCAGTTATTCTCACTACATTACTAGTTACTAACAAGTATTAGTACTTATTATAAATATATTATTATTATAATAATATATTATTATTATTATAATACTGATTATTATGAACCCAGTCCTTCAGGGACCAGTGGATTTTGTTGAGTCTAAAATACGTCTCAGTAGTTTTGCTTTTCTGAAGTCATAATAAAAATAGAATTGAAAGTTCAGAGTTTATTTAATTATGAATGTGTTTGTTCCTGAACAAGAGAAAACTATGAACGACGTAAACATGGTACAGGAGCCCACTTCAGCCTGCGCTCATTCAGAACCACAAAGGTCTGGTACTGTCTCAGAACAATGAAAACATTTAAAATTAGAATAGAAGCGGCCCATCCTCACTCAGCCCAAAGAGTCCAATAGTGACTCACAGGGATTTATACAAACATGAAGTAGTCAGAATGATTCATTCATAACATCGTACTGTTGATATTCTCTGTTCACAGATAATGGACGTCCCCCAGCTGTAGACCGGTCCAGCTTCAGTGAGACCGGACCAGCTTCAGTGAGACCGGTCCAGCTTCAGTGAGACCGGACCAGCTTCAGTGAGACCGGTCCAGCTTCAGTGGGACCGGTCCAGCTTCAGTGAGACCGGTCCAGCTTCAGTGGGACCGGACCAGCTTCAGTGAGACCGGACCAGCTTCAGTGAGACCGGACCAGCTTCAGTGGGACCGGACCAGCTTCAGTGAGACCGGACCAGCTTCAGTGAGACCGGACCAGCTTCAGTGGGACCGGACCAGCTTCAGTGAGACCGGACCAGCTTCAGTGAGACCGGACCAGCTTCAGTGAGACCGGTCCAGCTTCAGTGGGACCGGACCAGCTTCAGTGAGACCGGTCCAGCTTCAGTGAGACCGGACCAGCTTCAGTGAGACCGGTCCAGCTTCAGTGGGACCGGACCAGCTTCAGTGAGACCGGTCCAGCTTCAGTGGGACCGGACCAGCTTCAGTGAGACCGGACCAGCTTCAGTGAGACCGGTCCAGCTTCAGTGAGACCGGACCAGCTTCAGTGAGACCGGTCCAGCTTCAGTGAGACCGGACCAGCTTCAGTGAGACCGGACCAGCTTCAGTGAGACCGGACCAGCTTCAGTGAGACCGGACCAGCTTCAGTGAGACCGGACCAGCTTCAGTGAGACCGGACCAGCTTCAGTGAGACCGGACCAGCTTCAGTGAGACCGGTCCAGCTTCAGTGGGACCGGACCAGCTTCAGTGAGACCGGTCCAGCTTCAGTGAGACCGGACCAGCTTCAGTGAGACCGGTCCAGCTTCAGTGGGACCGGACCAGCTTCAGTGAGACCGGTCCAGCTTCAGTGGGACCGGACCAGCTTCAGTGAGACCGGACCAGCTTCAGTGAGACCGGTCCAGCTTCAGTGAGACCGGACCAGCTTCAGTGAGACCGGTCCAGCTTCAGTGGGACCGGACCAGCTTCAGTGAGACCGGTCCAGCTTCAGTGAGACCGGACCAGCTTCAGTGAGACCGGACCAGCTTCAGTGAGACCGGACCAGCTTCAGTGAGACCGGACCAGCTTCAGTGAGACCGGACCAGCTTCAGTGAGACCGGACCAGCTTCAGTGAGACCGGACCAGCTTCAGTGAGACCGGTCCAGCTTCAGTGGGACCGGACCAGCTTCAGTGAGACCGGACCAGCTTCAGTGAGACCGGTCCAGCTTCAGTGGGACCGGACCAGCTTCAGTGAGACCGGTCCAGCTTCAGTGGGACCGGACCAGCTTCAGTGAGACCGGACCAGCTTCAGTGAGACCGGTCCAGCTTCAGTGAGACCGGACCAGCTTCAGTGAGACCGGTCCAGCTTCAGTGGGACCGGACCAGCTTCAGTGAGACCGGTCCAGCTTCAGTGAGACCGGACCAGCTTCAGTGAGACCGGACCAGCTTCAGTGAGACCGGTCCAGCTTCAGTGGAGACCGGACCAGCTTCAGTGAGACCGGTCCAGCTTCAGTGAGACCGGACCAGCTTCAGTGAGACCGGACCAGCTTCAGTGAGACCGGTCCAGCTTCAGTGAGACCGGACCAGCTTCAGTGAGACCGGTCCAGCTTCAGTGAGACTGGACCAGCTTCAGTGAGACCGGTCCAGCTTCAGTGGGACCGGACCAGCTTCAGTGAGACCGGACCAGCTTCAGTGAGACCGGACCAGCTTCAGTGAGACCGGTCCAGCTTCAGTGGGACCGGACCAGCTTCAGTGAGACCGGTCCAGCTTCAGTGAGACCGGACCAGCTTCAGTGAGACCGGTCCAGCTTCAGTGGGACCGGACCAGCTTCAGTGAGACCGGTCCAGCTTCAGTGGGACCGGACCAGCTTCAGTGAGACCGGACCAGCTTCAGTGAGACCGGTCCAGCTTCAGTGGGACCGGACCAGCTTCAGTGAGACCGGTCCAGCTTCAGTGGGACCGGACCAGCTTCAGTGAGACCGGACCAGCTTCAGTGACAGTGAGACCGGTCCAGCTTCAGTGAGACCGGACCAGCTTCAGTGAGACCGGTCCAGCTTCAGTGGGACCGGACCAGCTTCAGTGAGACCGGTCCAGCTTCAGTGAGACCGGACCAGCTTCAGTGAGACCGGACCAGCTTCAGTGAGACCGGTCCAGCTTCAGTGAGACCGGACCAGCTTCAGTGAGACCGGTCCAGCTTCAGTGAGACCGGACCCCTTCAGTGAGACCGTACCAGCTTCAGTGAGACCGGACCAGCTTCAGTGAGACCGGACCAGCTTCAGTGGGACCGGACCAGCTTCAGTGAGACCGGTCCAGCTTCAGTGAGACCGGACCAGCTTCAGTGAGACCGGACCAGCTTCAGTGAGACCGGACCAGCTTCAGTGAGACCGGACCAGCTTCAGTGGGACCGGTCCAGCTTCAGTGAGACCGGACCAGCTTCAGTGAGACCGGTCCAGCTTCAGTGGGACCGGTCCAGCTTCAGTGAGACCGGACCAGCTTCAGTGAGACCGGTCCAGCTTCAGTGGGACCGGTCCAGCTTCAGTGAGACCGGTCCAGCTTCAGTGGGACCGGTCCAGCTTCAGTGAGACCGGACCAGCTTCAGTGAGACCGGTCCAGCTTCAGTGGGACCGGTCCAGCTTCAGTGAGACTGGACCAGCTTCACTTTTCCCCACGTTAGCTTTAGCCTAGTTAGCATTAGCCAGGTTAGCATGTGTGCATCACAGGTGCTAGCGGCAGCAGCAGCAGACTGTGACCGGGCAGAGGAGTCGAGGGGCGGGTACAGACCATGGTTCCGAGAGGAGCAGAGGCGGTGGGTTCTGCAGATGGAGAGAAGTTCGTGAATACGGAGCTTTCGGAGCCGCTGTGTCTGTGTGCAGCAGCTGGAGGGACGTACGGGGGAAGTGAAACATATGTGTGAACTATGGTTCCGCTCGGACGGTCCTTCAACATAAGAGCGCAGAAGATGTGGCTTTTCACAATAAAATGTTTAAAAGACTTTCTCAAAAACACAGATTAACACAAGAACTTGTATTAAAATACTTGGAATTGACTATTCCTGCCAATTTAAATTTTCTCATTGCAATCAATAATGTTTATTTTATTTTATTAAAATTATTATGCAATTTGTAAGATTTTCATGTCAAATCATTATAAAAGGGCCATAATCTGTCATCATTAAAGGGCCCTAATCTGTCATAATTAAAGGGCCCTAATCTGTCATCATTAAAGGGCCCTAATCTGTCATCATTAAAGGGCCCTAATCTGTCATCATTAAAGGGCCTTAATCTGTCATCATTAAAGGGCCCTAATCTGTCATCATTAAAGGGCCCTAATCTTTCATCATTAAAGGGCCCTAATCTGTCATCATTAACGGGCCCTAATATGTCATCATTAAAGGGCCCTAATCTGTCATCATTAAAGGGCCCTAATCTGTCATCATTAAAGGGCCTTAATCAGATTCAGATTAATTTATTTATTTGCCATTTGCAGTAAAACCACATTGGAAAAACTGTGCAAGACTACCCCGGTGTGCGCCAGACAGAGACGACACACACCAGAGCTCTTGCCATCTGTCATCATTAAAGGGCCCTAATCTGTCATAATTAAAGGGCCCTAATCTGTCATCATTAATGGGCCTAATCTGTCATCATTAAAGGGCCCTAATCTGTCATCCTTAAAGGGCCCTAATCTGTCATCATTAACGCGCCCTAATCTTTCATCATTAAAGGGCCCTAATCTGTCATCATTAAAGGGCCCTAATCTGTCATCATTAAAGGGCCCTAATCTGTCATCATTAAAGGGCCCTAATCTGTCATCATTAAAGGGCCCTAACCTGTCATCATTAAAGGGCCATAATCTGTCATCATTAAAGGGCCCTAATCTGTCATCATTAAAGGGCCCTAATCTGTCATCATTAAAGGGCCATAATCTGTCATCATTAAAGGGCCCTAATTTGTCATCATTAAAGGGCCCTAATCTGTCATAATAATAAACTGTTCTTTTCCATTACTTCTTTAACTGATGACAGTAGTTCAGAGATATTTGGATTTCTAAATTACTTTTCCAGCCTCTAAATCTTGTTATTGTTTTCATTCCGATGTCCCACCCTCCACCGTTTCACCAATCAGAAAGTCTGTGATCCAGGCGCCAGAACTCACTGCATGGAGCTAATCTCACTGGTAAAGTACCATGTGGCGCAGAACTAAAAAAGGTCTCGTTATGATTCTCAAATCATTAACGACAAAACAAGGAATAAAACCAGGATTTCTATCTTTGTGAAAAAGGTGTTGGTTATAGATTTGTTGTTGACAAAACTCTTGTCTATTCAGCTGTTATGGTCCCAGCTGGATTCGTCTGCATATCTGGCAACCTGAGTCAGGGAGAGTGGGAGAGGCTGCAGTACCACTTTTGGACACATGTTTACACACTGCTCCTTTACATATTGGATTGTCCTATAGTAGCTTGTAGTATCTTGTAGTATCTCGTAGTATGTGCTTGACCTACTCAAGCATCTTTAAGCTTAGACTCAGTGATAACAGAATGAATCTGGAGGTTGAGCAGAGTGAAGACAGATTAACTTTCTTCTAGACTCTTCATGTTTATTCATAGATAAAAGATAAAAACAACATCGTGAACATGTGTTTAGCGACAGGACAATCCCACACAGAGATAAACCACAGAATATTGCATTTATTGTTTCAGCTTTACACAAATGTGGTCATGGTTTTTGTGACAGATTTGTGATAATAATCTGTGAAGGTTCCGGAACAAGGCCTCGGTGACCTCTGTGGGAGAGACGCCATTTTGTTTTCACTTCCACATCTTTATCTGATCGTTAGATTAGATTCACAAAGAACAAACAAACATATGTTAATGAATATTGTCAACACTAGAGAGACCATAATACTGAGACCATAAAGACCAGAGAGAGACCAGAGAGAGACCAGGGAGAGAGACCAGAGAGAGAGACCATAAAGACCAGAGAGAGACCAGAGAGAGACCAGGGAGAGAGACCAGAGAGAGAGACCAGAGAGAGACCAGAGAGAGACCAGAGAGAGAGACCAGAGAGAGACCAGAGAGAGAGACCAGAGAGAGACCAGAGAGAGACCAGAGAGAGACCAGAGAGAGACCAGAGAGAGAGACCAGAGAGAGAGACCAGAGAGAGACCAGAGAGAGACCAGAGAGAGACCAGAGAGAGACCGAGAGAGAGAGACCAGAGAGAGACCAGAGAGAGACCAGAGAGAGACCAGAGAGAGACCAGAGAGAGAGACCAGAGAGAGACCAGAGAGAGACCAGAGAGAGAGACCAGAGAGAGACCAGAGAGAGACCAGAGAGAGAGAGACCAGAGAGAGAACAGAGAGAGACCAGAGGGAGAGACCATAAAGACCAGAGAGAGACCAGAGAGAGAGACCAGAGAGAGACCAGAGAGAGACCAGAGAGAGACCAGAGAGAGAGACCAGAGAGAGAACAGAGAGAGACCAGAGAGAGAGACCATAAAGACCAGAGAGAGACCAGAGAGAGACCAGGGAGAGAGACCAGAGAGAGAGACCATAAAGACCAGAGAGAGACCAGAGAGAGACCAGAGAGAGAGACCAGAGAGAGAGACCAGAGAGAGACCAGAGAGAGACCAGAGAGAGAGACCAGAGAGAGACCAGAGAGAGAGACCAGAGAGAGACCAGAGAGAGACCAGAGAGAGACCAGAGAGAGAGACCAGAGAGAGAGACCAGAGAGAGACCAGAGAGAGACCAGAGAGAGAGACCAGAGAGAGACCAGAGAGAGAGACCAGAGAGAGACCAGAGAGAGACCAGAGAGAGACCAGAGAGAGACCAGAGAGAGAGACCAGAGAGAGACCAGAGAGAGAGACCAGAGAGAGAGACCAGAGAGAGACCAGAGAGAGACCAGAGAGAGAGACCAGAGAGAGAACAGAGAGAGACCAGAGGGAGAGACCATAAAGACCAGAGAGAGACCAGAGAGAGAGACCAGAGAGAGACCAGAGAGAGACCAGAGAGAGACCAGAGAGAGAACAGAGAGAGACCAGAGAGAGAGACCATAAAGACCAGAGAGAGACCAGAGAGAGAGACCAGAGAGAGAGACCAGAGAGAGACCAGAGAGAGAGACCAGAGAGAGACCAGAGAGAGAACAGAGAGAGACCAGAGAGAGAGACCAGAGAGAGAGAGACCATTGAGAGACCAGAGAGAGACCAAAGAGAGACCAGAGAGAGAGACCAGAGAGAGACCAGAGAGAGACCAGAGAGAGAGACCAGAGAGAGACCAGAGAGAGACCAGAGAGAGACCAGAGAGAGACCAGAGAGAGACCAGAGAGAGACCAGAGAGAGAGACCAGAGAGAGACCAGAGTGCGAGACCAGACCCTCTGCAGCTAAATTTGACAGTGCACGCATGGATTTTGACAGCTGCAGCAGCACTCAGACCTGCCATCAACAGGTTTGGTATCTGCTACCTCTCTGGTCTCTCTCTCTGGTCTCTCTCTGGTCTCTCTCTGGTCTCTCTCTGGTCTCTCTCTGGTCTCTCTCTGGTCTCTCTCTCTGGTCTCTCTCTGGTCTCTCTCTGGTCTCTCTCTGGTCTCTCTCTCTGGTCTCTCTCTGGTCTCTCTCTGGTCTCTCTCTGTTCTCTCCCTGTTCTCTCTCTGGTCTCTCTCTGGTCTCTCTCTGGTCTCTCTCTGGTCTCTCCCTGGTCTCTCTCTGGTCTCTCTCTGATTTATATTTAGAACACATCACCCCTGCCATAAACCAGTGTTGAGGCTCTTTGGATTGTTGTGATGTCACGTGACTCCCTCAGAGCAGCTCCCTGGGGTCACGCCTGAGCCCGCCCGGCCGTGACCCGGGGAGAGACCCTGCGACCGGCCGGGGTCTCTCTCCTCAGGTGCCCACACTGTCTCTGACACGCCTCCAGGCTCGGGAAGTTGTTGTCGTTGCCGTGGCAGCTGCCGTACCAGAAGTCAACGCATTTTCCGGCGGCGGCGTCGAAGTAGAAGCGCACTTTCCAGGTGTCGCAGGGGCCTTCGTCACGAGGGAGAGCGCAGACGTCGTAGGAGGGCGCCACGGGCCGCGGTGGCACGGGCGGCAGCTGAGGACAGAGACCGGGTCAAAACACAAAACATAACACACTTTTGGGGGTTTCATTCATGGGTTTGATCCAGTGTTGGGAGTAAACACTGACATACTGCATACTGTGGGGGTGTACCCGGAAACAGAATTATCCAATGCATTCTTATGGCGCCTTTTTCCTCTCAAAAACCTCTCTACAGGACGGTCCGAAAGTGGGTCTAGGTCCAAAAGTGGGTCTTGGTCGAAAAGTGGTTCTTGGTCCAAAAGTGGGTCTTGGTCCAAAAGTGGGTCTTGGTCCAAAAGTGGGTCTTGGTCCAAAAGTGGTTCTTGATCCAAAAGTGGGTCTTGGTCCAAAAGTGGGTCTTGGTCCAAAAGTGGTTCTTGATCCAAAAGTGGGTCTCGGTCGAAAAGTGTGTCTTGGTCGAAAAGTGGTTCTTGGTCCAAAAGTGGGTCTTGGTCCAAAAGTGGGTCTTGGTCCAAAAAGTGGATCTTGGTGCAAAAGTGGGTCTTGGTCCAAATGTGGTTCTTGGTCCAAAAGTGGCTCTTGGTCTAAAAGTGGCTCTTGGTCTAAAAGTGGCTCTTGGTCTAAAAGTGGCTCTTGGTCCAAAAGTGGCTCTTGGTCTAAAAGTGGCTCTTGGTCTAAAAGCATTCCAAAAGTTAAAAGTAATTGGACTCAAAAAGCTCCGGTGTGTTCTATCTTCTCTGGTGCACACTGGGAAGTCTTGCACGGTTTTTCCAATGTGGTTTTACTGCAAATAGCAAATTAAATCTGGAATAGGAACCAGAGAGAGTTGGAGCACTTCCCTGTTCCCTGAGCAGTGGGTCTAAAGAGGAGTGTCCCCATGGTCGTACCTCTGGGGCCTGGTACTCGGGGCATCCGGCTCGACCAAAACCCAGAGCTGGGGTCAGTCCGTCCAGACAGCAGCCGTATCTGTGAGAGAGGAACCCAGTCAGGACCAGAGAAGAAGAGAAAGTGAAAGTAAAGTCCTGATACAGTTTATCCAGGACTGAGGCTGTAGACCCAGGACTGAGGCTGTAGACCCAGGACTGAGGCTGTAGACCCAGGACTGAGACTGTAGACCCAGGACTGAGACTGTAGACCCAGGACTGAGGCTGTAGACCCAGGACTGAGGCTGTAGACCCAGGACTGAGGCTGTAGACCCAGGACTGAGGCTGTAGACCCAGGACTGAGGCTGTAGACCCAGGACTGAGGCTGTAGATCCAGGACTGAGTCTGTAGACCCAGGACTGAGGCTGTAAACCCAGGACTGCGGCTGTAGATCCAGGACTCACCTGGAGGTCACGCAGTCGTCACGGTGACAGCCCTGGGACCTGGGGCCCGTGGCGGGGGACACACCGTCAGGACAGCAGCCGTAATAGGTCTGAGCACAACGGGGGACCCCCTCAGGCCTGGAAGCTGGACACACACACAGATACACACACACACACACACACACACGCACACACACAGACACACGCACACACACACAGACACACACACACAGAGATACACACAGACACACGCAGACACAGACACACACACACAGAGATACACACAGACACAGATACACACACACACACACACACACACACAGACACACGCACACACACACACAGACACACACACAGAGATACACACAGACACACACAGACACAGATACACACACACACACACACACAGTCGTGGTCATAGACGGAAATACCTATGTCTGGTGCTTGTGCTTCACTGGTTTAACAAAACACTTTCTCTCAGGCAGAACCACACACACAGACACACACACACATGCACACACACACACACACACACACAGAGACACACACAGATGGACACACACACACAGATGAACACACACACACACAGACACACACAGATGGACACACACACAGAGATACACATAGACACACACAGACAGACACACGCACGCACACACACACACACAGATGAACACACACACACAGACACACGTAGACACACACACACAGACACACGCACGCACACACACACACAAACACACACACAAATAGACACACACACGAACACACACACAAACAGACAAACATAGATGAACACACACATACACACACAGACCTGTGGGGTCCTCGGGGACGTGGGGCACGAACCCTCTCATGGTGGTCTCATGAGAGCGAGGGTCCTGGACACTCGGGACCCCTGGACGTGAACGAACTGAGTCACTTCAAGAATCAGGAAGTAACAAACTGAGAACTACCTTTGTCTCTCGATACAAACAAGTTTTACAAACACAACTAGAACCAGGCATGAAATAAATACTATCTACACTTCTTATAATGACCACTTTATACACGTCAGAACACAGGGTGTGAGGTCTCACTCTGGCCTCACTCTGGTCTCACTCTGGCCTCACTCTGGTCTCACTCTGGTCTCACTCTGGTCTCAGTCTGGTCATTCATGATGGTTCTATGGTTAAGAACAGAGTGTGAGGTCTCACTCTGGTCTCACTCTGGTCTCACTCTGGTCTCACTCTGGCCTCACTCTGGTCTCACTCTGGTCTCACTCTGGTCTCACTCTGGTCTCACTCTGGCCTCACTCTGGCCTCACTCTGGCCTCACTCTGGCCTCACTCTGGCCTCACTCTGGTCTCACTCTGGTCTCACTCTGGTCTCAGTCTGGTCATTCATGATGGTTCTATGGTTAAGAACAGAGTGTGAGGTCTCACTCTGAGGCCCGGGGCAGGGCTGGCTGTTGCAGGTCTCCACAGTCTGGGGTCTGGTCTCTGGTCCACACTGAGCCTCTGGGTGGGGGTTCAGGTCCGTGTCCAGGCAGCCCACCCTCCTCTCCCTCACGCCTCCCCCACAGCTGCGCGTACACTGCACACACACACAGACGCACACTGACGCACACAGACGCACACTGACACCTGTGGACGCCTGTTTCCCGCTTTACTCTTTACAGAAGAATTGTTTTGATTTAAGAAACAGGAAGTCACTGTGAATTAGCTTTAGCTCTACGTGCATCAAGCTGTAAGAATAAAAAAGGCATTCAAAAAAATATTAATATTCATAACAAAGGATCTGGCTTTTTTGGCCATACTTTCAAAAACTAGATTCTGTCAGACCTCTGGAGCTAAGCAGGACAGGGTCTGGTTAGTACTGTGATGGGAGACCTCTGGGAACACAAGGTGTCACAGTAGGAAGGCTGCGGCTAGAGATTTTAGACTAGCTTCTTTATTATGCTAAAGTTAGAGATTTTAGACTAGCTTCTTTATTATGCTAAAGTTAGAGATTTTAGACTAGCTTCTTTATTATGCTAAAGTTAGAGATTTTAGACTAGCTTCTTTATTATGCTAAAGTTAGAGATTTTAGACTAGCTTCTTTATTATGCTAAAGCCTGAGATTCCCGGACTCACCAGGCCGTAGTCGGTGACGTGCCAGAGGGTGTGTGTGCGACAGGCGGGTCTGCGACACACACGAGAAGACTCCGGCCGCGGGACAGAGCTGCAGGAATGTTCCGGAAGCCGCTCACCTGAGGATCCCACACAGTGCACCTCCCGCCTCTGCTGCCCCTCCCCACACGTCACCGAACACTGCAACACACACACAGACAGACACACACACACAGACACACACAGACTGTGTTCACTAATGTGCATTTGTTGACTGTCCTGGTTTTGTCTCTCTCTGGTCTCTCTCTGGTCTCTCTCTGGTCCCTCTCTGGTCTCTCTCTGGTCCCTCTCTGGTCTCTCTCTGGTCTCTCTCTGGTCCCTCTCTGGTCTCTCTCTCTGGTGCCTCTCTGGTCTCTCTATGGTCTCTCTCTGGTCTCTCTCTGGTCTCTCTCTCTGGTCCCTCTCTGGTCTCTCTCTGGTCTCTCTCTGGTCTCTCTGGTCTCTCTCTGGTCTCTCTGGTCTCTCTCTGGTCCCTCTCTGGTCTCTCTCTGTTCTTTCTCTGGTCTCTCTGGTCCCTCTCTGGTCTCTCTCTGGTCTCTCTCTGGTCACTCTCTGGTCTCTCTGGTCTCTCTCTGGTCTCTCTGGTCTCTCTCTCTGGTCCCTCTCTGGTCTCTCTCTGTTCTCTCTCTGGTCTCTCTGGTCTCTCTCTGGTCTCTCTGGTCTCTCTCTCTGGTCCCTCTCTGGTCTCTCTCTGGTCTCTCTGGTCTCTCTCTCTGGTCCCTCTCTGGTCTCTCTTGTCTCTCTCTGGTCTCTCTCTGGTCTCTCTCTGGTCTCTCTCTCTGGTCTCTCTCTGGTCTCTCTCTGGTCTCTCTCTCTGGTCTCTCTCTGGTCTCTCTCTGGTCTCTCTCTCTGGTCTCTCTCTGGTCTCTCTCTGGTCTCTCTCTGGTCTCTCTCTGGTCTCTCTCTCTGGTCTCTCTCTGGTCCCTCTCTGGTCTCTCTCTCTGGTCTCTCTCTGGTCTCTCTCTGGTCTCTCTCTGGTCTCTCTCTGGTCCCTCTCTGGTCTCTCTCTCTGGTCTCTCTCTGGTCTCTCTCTGGTCTCTCTCTGGTCTCTCTCTGGTCTCTCTCTGGTCTCTCTCTGGTCTGTCTCTGGTCTCTCACTGACCGCACTGAAGCTGGACACGCTGTACTCTGCGCTGCACTGGTGCATGTTGCAGGCCTGTTGACTCGCTGGTCTCTGCAGCCGCTGTGTGATGCAGTACACCTCCTCCACCACACGGGGCGCCCCTGGCTCCTGGACCCAGCAGTCCACCGGGCGGTACTGCATGCCCCCGCCACAAGAGGCAGTGCAGGCCCCGTACACGCCCGCTCTGTAGGTGTAGCTGTGGACCTGTGTGGGGTGAGGAGAGACCACCACCGGAACCGAGGCCTGGGGCGGGTCCTCATCCAGACCCATGATCTCCCCACGGATGTAGGTCTGCGGGGGAGGGGGGGAGGGAGGAGGGAGGGGGGACACAAGATGGAGGAGATTAACCACATGTCATTATTTTAGTTTGTATGTAGTGGGAAAACCGATAGTGTTTGTAGGAATTTAATAATAATAATAATAATAATAATAATGATGCTAATAATAATGATGATGATGATGATGATAATAATAATAATAATAATAATGATAATAATAATAATGATAATAATAATACTCCCCCCCTGGACTGCCACCTTAACGTGGTGGGGGAGTTTGAGTACTCGGATGATCCTGGGAGCTATGCTGTCTGGGGCTTCATGCCCCTGGTAGGGCCTCCCATGGCAGACAGGTCTCAGGTGACGAGTCAGACGAAGAGCGGTCCAAAAACCACCATGGACAGCACGTTAAATAGACCAGTGACGTCGCCCGGCATGGCGCAGCCGGTGCCCCACCCTGGAGCCAGGCCTAGGGTCGGGACTCGTAAGCGAGCGCCTGGTGGCCGGGCCTTAGCCCACGGGGCCCGGCCGGGCTCAGCCCGAATGGATGACGTGGGCAGTCCCTCCTGTGGGCCCACCACCTGCAGAGGGGTCCGTGGTGGCGCGGTGCTGAGAGGACTGGGCGGCAGTCGAAGGCGGAGACCTCGGCGACCCAGTCCGCACACAAAACATCTGGCTCTTGGGACGTGGAACGTCACCTCACTGGGGGGGAAGGAGCCCGAGCTCGTGGGGGAGGTTGAGCGATACCGACTAGAGATAGTCGGCCTCACCTCCACACACAGCTTGGGCTCTGGAACCCAACTCCTTGAGAGGGGTTGGACGCTCCACTTTTCTGGTGTTTCCCAAGCGTATAGTTAGGGTCTGCTGGGAACGTCTCGCTGAGCCCCCTGTCAGACTTTCAACTCACACCTCCGGGAGAGCTTCTCCCAGGTCCCGGCGGAGACGGTGCCAACACCGTGTACTGGGTGGAGAGCTGCTGACCTCGTCTGGGGATATTGTCGGGCGGTGGAAGGAATACTTTGAGGTTCTCCTCAATCCCCCCGTCACGTCCTCCGTTACAGAGACTGAGGATGTTGGGGCGGGTACTTCCATCTCCCTGGCTGAGGTCACCAAGGTGGTTGGTAGCCTCCATGGTGGCAAGGCTCCGGGTGTGGATGAGATCCGTCCTGACTCTAAAGTCTCTGGATGTTGTAGGACTGTCTTGGCTGACACGTCTCTGCAACATCGCGTGGCGATCGGGGGCGGTGCCAATGGAGTGGCAGACCGGGGTGGTGGTCCCTCTCTATAAGAAGGGGGACCGGAGGGTGTGTTCCAATTATCGTGGGATCACACTCCTCAGCCTCCCCGGTAAGGTCTACTCCAAGGTACTGGAGAGGAGGCTACGGCCGATGGTCGAATCTCGGATCCAGGAGGAGCAGTGTGGTTTTCGTCCCGGTCGCGGAACACTGGACCAGCTCTATACTCTCCATCGGATACTCGAGGGTTCATGGGAGTTCGCCCAACCTGTCCACATGTGCTTTGTGGATTTGGAGAAGGCGTTCGACTGTGTTCCCCGGGGTGTCCTTTGGGGGGTTCTCCGGGAGTACAGGGTCCGGGGTCCTCTGCTGAGGGCCATCCGATCCCTGTATGACCGGAGCCAGAGCTGTGTTCATCAGCAGCAAGTCAGACCTGTTCCCGGTGCATGTTGGCCTCCGACAGGGCTGCCCTTTGTCACCGGTTCTGTTCACTGTATTTATGGACAGAATTTCTGGGCGCAGCCAGGGGCCGGAGGGGGTCCGGTTCGGAGACCACAGCCAGGGGTCGGAGGGGGTCCGGTTCTGAGACCACAGGATTTCATCTCTGCTGTTTGCGGACGATGTTGTCCTGTTGGCTCCAACGAACCAGGACCTGCAACATGCACTGGGACGGTTTGCAGCCGAGTGTGAAGCGGCTGGGATGAGAATCAGCACCTCCAAATCCGAGGCCATGGTGCTTGACCGGAAAAAGGTGCTTTGCCCTCTACAGGTGGAGAGGTCCTTCCTCAAGTGGAGGAGTTCAAGTATCTCGGGGTCTTGTTCACGAGTGAGGGGAGGATGGAGCGTGAGATTGACAGGCGGATCGGTGCAGCGTGCGCAGTGATGCGGTCTCTGTATCGGACCGTTGTGGTGACGAGGGAGCAGCGTCTGCAGTCAGAGCTGTATCGGACCGTTGTGGTAAAGAGGGAGCAGCATCTGCAGTCAGAGCTGTATCGGACCGTTGTGGTAAAGAGGGAGCAGCGTCTGCAGTCAGAGCTGTATCGGACCGTTGTGGTAAAGAGGGAGCTGAGCCGAAAGGCAAAGCTTTCGAATTTTAGGTCTGAGGTCAATGGTACAGGTCTGAGGTCCATGGTACAGAGTGTCCATGGTACAGAGTGTCCATGGTACAGAGTGTCCATGGTACAGAGTGTCCATGGTACAGGTCTAAGGTCCATGTACAGGTTTGAGAGTCAATGGTACAGGTCTGAGGTCCATGGTACAGGTCTTAGGTCCATGGTACAGAGTGTCCATGGTACATGTTGTGATGTCACACACCCTGCAGACGCCGTGGATGCAGATGTCGTTGCGTCCCGTGTAGCACCGTGTCCCGTCCACCACCGTAGAGCTGTGTCTGTAGGAGAAGTCCTGTCCCCGCGGCACACACAGCAGCTCACACGGGTTCTGAGCTGAACGCACAAAACACACAATATTTACAGTCACACAATCACTTCACACACACCTTTGTCTGTGTGTGGACACACAGCAGAGTCCGGAGTCCTGTCGTTTTGGGTGTTTTACAATCGTTATTTTTCATCTGTAAATGTCGCCGCAGAACAGTGTTCATGGTTTTACCCTGGGCCAGACCAGAACCAGACAGATCCAGATGAAGTCCAGCTGATTTACTGGAATAATGCTAATAAAACATTCAGAATTTCACTCTGAACCAGAGCAGACTCAGAAGACAGAAGAGAGGAGAGAGACCAGAGAGAGACCAGAGACGAGAGAGACCAGAGAGAGACCAGAGAGAGAGACCAGAGAGAGACCAGAGACGAGAGAGACCAGAGAGACCAGAGAGATACCAGAGAGAGACCAGAGACGAGAGAGACCAGAGAGACCATAGAGATACCAGAGAGAGAGACCAGAGAGAGACTAGAGAGACCAGAGAGAGACCAGAGAGACCAGAGAGAGACCAGAGAGAGAGACCAGAGAGAGACCAGAGAGACCAGAGAGAGACCAGAGAGAGAGACCAGAGAGAGACCAGAGAGACCAGCGAAAGACCAGAGAGAAACCAGAGAGAGACCAGGTGATATATGCTATACATATAAATGTGACGTTACCTCCATAGTATGGGACCCATGTGTGGTGTTTTCCCTGAAAGTCTGAACGGTCAAACTGAGAACACTGCTCCTCACGGAAGTCTCTGGAACCAACTGGACACTCCTGTAACAGAGACCACAGAGAGTAGAAGGAGAGAGACCAGAGAGAGAGAGACCAGAGAGAGAGAGACCAGAGAGAGAGACCAGAGAGAGACCAGAGAGAGAGAGACCAGAGAGAGAGAGAGCAGAGAGAGAGAGCAGAGAGAGACCAGAGAGAGACCAGAGAGAGAGAGACCAGAGAGAGAGAGCAGAGAGAGACCAGAGAGAGAGCAGAGAGAAAGAGCAGAGAGAGAGACCAGAGAGAGAGAGACCAGAGAGAGACCAGAGAGAGAGAGACCAGAGAGAGAGAGCAGAGAGAGACCAGAGAGAGAGACCAGAGAGAGAAAGAGCAGAGAGAGAGACCAGAGAGAGAGAGACCAGAGAGAGAGAGAGCAGAGAGAGAGAGAGCAGAGAGAGAGACCAAAGAGAGAGAGACCAGAGAGAGAGACCAGAGAGAGAGACCAGAGAGAGAGAGAGCAGAGAGAAAGAGCAGAGAGAGAGAGCAGAGAGAGAGACCAGAGAGAGAGAGCAGAGAGAGAGACCAGAGAGAGAGACCAGAGAGAGAGACCAGAGAGAGAGAGACCAGAGAGAGAGACCAGAGAGAGAGAGCAGAGAGAAAGAGCAGAGAGAGAGACCAGAGAGAGAGAGACCAGAGAGAGAGAGAGCAGAGAGAGAGAGCAGAGAGAGAGACCAGAGAGAGAGAGCAGAGAGAGACCAGAGAGAGAGACCAGAGAGAGAGAGAGCAGAGAGAAAGAGCAGAGAGAGAGACCAGAGAGAGACCAGAGAGAGAGCAGAGAGAGACAGCAGAGAGAGAGACCAGAGAGAGACCAGAGAGAGAGACCAGAGAGAGAGACCAGAGAGAGAGAGCAAGCAGAGAGAGAGAGCAGAGAGAGACCAGAGAGAGAGAGCAGAGAGAGAGAGAGCAGAGAGAAAGAGCAGAGAGAGAGAGCAGAGAGAGAGAGCAGAGAGAGAGAGAGCAGAGAGAGAGAGCAGAGAGAGACCAGAGAGAGAGAGCAGAGAGAGAGACCAGAGAGAGACCAGAGAGAGAGACCAGAGAGAGAGAGAGAGACCAGAGAGAGAGACCAGAGAGAGACCAGAGAGAGCGAGCAGAGAGAGAGAGCAGAGAGAGACAGAGAGAGAGAGAGCAGAGAGAGAGACCAGAGAGAGACCAGAGAGAGCGAGCAGAGAGAGAGAGCAGAGAGAGACCAGAGAGAGAGAGCAGAGAGAGAGACCAGAGAGAGACCAGAGAGAGAGAGAGCAGAGAGAGAGAGCGAGCAGAGAGAGAGAGCAGAGAGAGACCAGAGAGAGAGAGCAGAGAGAGAGACCAGAGAGAGACCAGAGAGAGAGACCAGAGAGAGAGAGAGAGACCAGAGAGAGAGACCAGAGAGAGACCAGAGAGAGCGAGCAGAGAGAGAGAGCAGAGAGAGACCAGAGAGAGAGAGCAGAGAGAGAGACCAGAGAGAGACCAGAGAGAGAGACCAGAGAGAGAGAGAGAGACCAGAGAGAGAGAGAGCAGAGAGAGAGAGCAGTGAGCAGAGAGAGACAGTAGAGAGAGAGAGAGACCGCTGACATTACCTGAGTGTTGCAGATGCGGTACGACTTGGAGGATCCTAAACAGTTGTGTCCTCCGTCCGTTCTAAAAGCACAAACAATTTTTGAAAATGAACTAGATCTAAATAAGACTGGATCAATGTAGATCTACTGGAAATGGGTTTTATTACCCTAAAACCATAGACTGTATTTCAATGCTAACAATGCTAACATGCAATGCTAACCTGGAATGACGACAGATAGGGAGTGCTAGCCTTAACTGTTAGTGTTAGCCTTAACTGTTAGTGTTAGCCTTAACTGTTAGTGTTAGCCTTAACTGTTAGTGTTAGCCTTAACTGTTAGTGTTAGCCTTAGCTGTTAGTGTTAGCCTTAACTGTTAGTGTTAGCCTTAACTGTTAGTGTTAGCCTTAGCTGTTAGTGTTAGCCTTAGCTGTTAGTGTTAGCCTTAACTGTTAGTGTTAGCCTTAGCTGTTAGTGTTAGCCTTAACTGTTAGTGTTAGCCTTAACTGTTAGTGTTAGCCTTAACTGTTAGTGTTAGCCTTAACTGTTAGTGTTAGCCTTAACTGTTAGTGTTAGCCTTAACTGTTAGTGTTAGCCTTAACTGTTAGTGTTAGCCTTAACTGTTAGTGTTAGCCTTAACTGTTAGTGTTAGCCTTAACTGTTAGTGTTAGCCTTAACTGTTAGTGTTAGCCTTAACTGTTAGTGTTAGCCTTAACTGTTAGTGTTAGCCTTAACTGTTAGTGTTAGCCTTAGCTGTTAGTGTTAGCCTTAACTGTTAGTGTTAGCCTTAACTGTTAGTGTTAGCCTTAACTGTTAGTGTTAGCCTTAACTGTTAGTGTTAGCCTTAACTGTTAGTGTTAGCCTTAACTGTTAGTGTTAGCCTTAACTGTTAGTGTTAGCCTTAACTGTTAGTGTTAGCCTTAGCTGTTAGTGTTAGCCTTAGCTGTTAGTGTTAGCCTTAGCTGTTAGTGTTAGCCTTAACTGTTAGTGTTAGCCTTAACTGTTAGTGTTAGCCTTAACTGTTAGTGTTAGCCTTAACTGTTAGTGTTAGCCTTAACTGTTAGTGTTAGCCTTAGCTGTTAGTGTTAGCCTTAACTGTTAGTGTTAGCCTTAACTGTTAGTGTTAGCCTTAACTGTTAGTGTTAGCCTTAGCTGTTAGTGTTAGCCTTAACTGTTAGTGTTAGCCTTAACTGTTAGTGTTAGCCTTAACTGTTAGTGTTAGCCTTAACTGTTAGTGTTAGCCTTAACTGTTAGTGTTAGCCTTAGCTGTTAGTGTTAGCCTTAGCTGTTAGTGTTAGCCTTAACTGTTAGTGTTAGCCTTAACTGTTAGTGTTAGCCTTAACTGTTAGTGTTAGCCTTAACTGTTAGTGTTAGCCTTAACTGTTAGTGTTAGCCTTAACTGTTAGTGTTAGCCTTAACTGTTAGTGTTAGCCTTAGCTGTTAGTGTTAGCCTTAGCTGTTAGTGTTAGCCTTAACTGTTAGTGTTAGCCTTAACTGTTAGTGTTAGCCTTAACTGTTAGTACTAGCCTTAACTGTTAGTGTTAGCCTTAACTGTTAGTGTTAGCCTTAACTGTTAGTGTTAGCCTTAACTGTTAGTGTTAGCCTTAACTGTTAGTGTTAGCCTTAACTGTTAGTGTTAGCCTTAACTGTTAGTGTTAGCCTTAGCTGTTAGTGTTAGCCTTAACTGTTAGTGTTAGCCTTAACTGTTAGTGTTAGCCTTAGCTGTTAGTGTTAGCCTTAGCTGTTAGTGTTAGCCTTAGCTGTTAGTGTTAGCCTTAACTGTTAGTGTTAGCCTTAACTGTTAGTGTTAGCCTTAACTGTTAGTGTTAGCCTTAACTGTTAGTGTTAGCCTTAACTGTTAGTGTTAGCCTTATCTGTTAGTGTTAGCCTTAGCTGTTAGTGTTAGCCTTAGCTGTTAGTGTTAGCCTTAACTGTTAGTTTTAGCCTTAACTGTTAGTGTTAGCCTTAACTGTTAGTGTTAGCCTTAACTGTTAGTGTTAGCCTTATCTGTTAGTGTTAGCCTTAACTGTTAGTGTTAGCCTTAACTGTTAGTGTTAGCCTTAACTGTTAGTGTTAGCCTTATCTGTTAGTGTTAGCCTTAACTGTTAGTGTTAGCCTTAACTGTTAGTGTTAGCCTTAACTGTTAGTGTTAGCCTTAACTGTTAGTGTTAGCCTTAACTGTTAGTGTTAGCCTTAACTGTTAGTGTTAGCCTTAACTGTTAGTGTTAGCCTTAACTGTTAGTGTTAGCCTTAACTGTTAGTGTTAGCCTTAACTGTTAGTGTTAGCCTTAACTGTTAGTGTTAGCCTTAACTGTTAGTGTTAGCCTTAACTGTTAGTGTTAGCCTTAGCTGTTAGTGTTAGCCTTAACTGTTAGTGTTAGCCTTATCTGTTAGTGTTAGCCTTAACTGTTAGTGTTAGCCTTAACTGTTAGTACTAGCCTTAACTCTTCGTGGTCGGAGCTAGCCTTAACTAGTTTCTGGTTTAGATTGAACCAAAACTGGACCAAATATAAAGTTAAACACATTGTTCTGTATTTAATATTTCACTTCCGATGATGCGTTGGTTAAATTTTTATAATAAATTACATGTGGTTGTTTTCTTGAGATATAACATGCCACGGTCATTACCAGTAATGCTGCAAGTTAATAATAATAATTGGAAATCATTTTAGGGACCACACAAAACAGCCTTGGACCGAGTTTGACCCCCGGGCCTGAGTTTGACCTGCTCTAAACCTTTAAACATGTTATGCTCAGCGTACATCGGACTGGCAGCTGATTATATCCGTGGCCTATGAGGAATAACAACAACTGGCCTCAACTACAGTAGCTGCGTTTCCATTGAATAATGCGCAAAAACTTTTTCGATACATTTCAAAATTCGAAAAACCTGTAATTCGCAAAAGCGGCCGTTTCCATTAAGACATATTCGAATAAGTTTACACTATGGTCGCGCGTTTATTCACTAGTTTCTAGTACGTCAACATGGCAACAGAAGTAAACAACACTTTGATTTACGTGAGATATATTAATGTCTTGACTTCTGCTGCGGCTCTCATCCTCTCTGACCTCTGACCCCGGGAGAAACTGTGGCTGCTTTGACAGCTCCGCGAACGCCGTGGTCATGTACCGAGCGCGGACCATAGACGCGCGCACAGAACCATAGACACGGGTCTTGCCTGTCTCCCCCGTCTCTCCCCCATGCCTCTCCCCGTCTCTCCCCCGTCTCTCCCCCGTCTCTCCCCCGTCTCTCCCCCGTCTCTCCCCCATGCCTCTCCCCCGTCTCTCCCCCGTCTCTACCCCGTCTCTCCCCCATGCCTCTCCCCCGTCTCTCCCCCGTCTCTCCCCCGTCTCTCCCCCATGCCTCTCCCCCGTCTCTCCCCCATGCCTCTCCCCCGTCTCTCCCCCGTCTCTCCCCCGTCTCTCCCCCGTCTCTTCCCCCGTCTCTCCCCCGTCTCTCCCCCATGCCTCTCCCCCGTCTCTTCCCCGTCTCTCCCCCATGCCTCTCCCCCGTCTCTCCCCCGTCTCTCCCCCGTCTCTCCCCCGTCTCTCCCCCATGCCTCTCCCCCGTCTCTCCCCCGTCTCTCCCCCGTCTCTACCCCGTCTCTCCCCCATGCCTCTCCCCCGTCTCTCCCCCATGCCTCTCCCCCGTCTCTCCCCCGTCTCTCCCCCGTCTCTCCCCCATGCCTCTCCCCCGTCTCTCCCCCATGCCTCTCCCCCGTCTCTCCCCCGTCTCTCTCCCCCGTCTCTTCCCCCGTCTCTCCCCCATGCCTCTCCCCCGTCTCTTCCCCGTCTCTCCCCCATGCCTCTCCCCCGTCTCTCCCCCGTCTCTCCCCCGTCTCTCCCCCGTCTCTCCCCCATGCCTCTCCCCCGTCTCTCCCCCGTCTCCCCCCCGTCTCTCCCCCATGCCTCTCCCCCGTCTCTCCCCCATGCCTCTCCCCCGTCTCTCCCCCATGCCTCTTCCCCGTCTCTCCCCCATGCCTCTCCCCCGTCTCTCCCCCATGCCTCTCCCCCGTCTCTCCCCCATGCCTCTCCCCCGTCTCTCCCCCGTCTCTCCCCCATGCCTCTCCCCCGTCTCTCCCCCATGCCTCTCCCCCGTCTCTCCCCCGTCTCTCCCCCATGCCTCTCCCCCGTCTCTCCCCCGTCTCTCCCCCGTCTCTCCCCCATGCCTCTCCCCCGTCTCTCCCCCATGCCTCTCCCCCGTCTCTCCCCCGTCTCTCCCCCATGCCTCTCCCCCGTCTCCCCCCCGTCTCTCCCCCGTCTCTCCCCCGTCTCTCCCCCATGCCTCTCCCCCGCTCTCCCCCATGCCTCTCCCCCGTCTCTCCCCCGTCTCTCCCCCATGCCTCTCCCCCGTCTCTCCCCCGTCTCTCCCCCATGCCTCTCCCCCGTCTCTCCCCCATGCCTCTCCCCCGTCTCTCCCCCGTCTCTCCCCCATGCCTCTCCCCCGTCTCCCCCCCGTCTCTCCCCCATGCCTCTCCCCCGTCTCTCCCCCGTCTCTCCCCCGTCTCTCCCCCATGCCTCTCCCCCGTCTCTCCCCCATGCCTCTCCCCCGTCTCTCCCCCGTCTCTCCCCCATGCCTCTCCCCCGTCTCCCCCCCGTCTCTCCCCCATGCCTCTTCCACGTATCTCCCAAGTCTCCACACGAAGCGCAGCCAAAACTCACTGAATAAAGCCGCTCGGCTTCCTCCGCTTTATCGAAATAAGTGTTTCCATTGCCGTTTTGCAAAAAACTTAATTTCGATACGTCCAAAAAACCACCGATTTTAAGCGCATTAACTTTTTATCGAAAAACTGTGGTTTTATTCGAAATGTGCGCGTTTCCATTAGACATTTTATGATGCGCAAATTCAAATTTCGAAATTTGATGCTCAATGGAAACGCAGCTAATGTGTTTCTGACATAAACTGTAGAGGGCGCTATACACGCAATACACACACGTTGTTGGAGCACATCGGTGATATCTCCGGATCTGAGGAACACTAGTTGCCGAAAAGTAGAACACTGGCAACTGACTGAATCCAGAGATCGACTGTTTTTCTCCAGTTGTAAGAGCGCTCACATCGACCGACTTCAACTGATCGTCTCCATCATCTCCTCTCAGATGTCAAAAGCCGCCTGGAAACTGTTGTCTCCAGTTACTCTGTCCATGTACGCTAGGCTTAACATTCACAGTGAGTGTCTTGCCCAATGACACGGCAGCACTAACAGCTGAACATCGCACCTGGACGTGATGCATTTCCTGGTTCTCATGGAGACCCCGGAGCCACAGGTCCGACTGCAGGGGCCGTAGACTCCAAACTCTCCCCAGAAGTCATGAATGGGCTCCGTCAGCTGCAGAAACAAATCTGTCTTTAAGAATCAGATCTTACAATAATCACTGACTCTTCTGGCCCCGGGAACAGCCATGTTCCAGCTTCTTCCCTCTGCCAGAAGATATGTTGGTTGCAGGACATCTGGATATGCTAACATGCTAACATGCTATGTCCTATCAGAGAGAGAATTGTTTCTATACTTTTCAATCTTGTTTTATTCCCGTGCTTGTCTGTCTTGTCTTGTCTTGCACGTGTTATTCCAATGTGGTTTTACTGTAAACGGCAAATAAACTGAATCTGAATTCACACATTACAGTCAGAGGTCAGATTTTACAGATGTTATTTACACACCCACATATGTTGTGTTGTCTTTGTGTCTCTCACTGCGCTGCAACCATGGATCTATAATTATAACTGGATAGAGTATTACTGCTGTCCCGCCCATGGCCACAGGGGGCGCTGTGGTACTGCAGACTAAATTCACGTTACCCAGAAAAATGTCCAATAGAAGTCAATGTAAAAAAAAAAAAAAACTCAGCTGACAGAGAACCTGACAGAGAACCTCCAGCGAACCTGACAGAAAACCTGACAGAGAACCTACAGAGAACCTGACAGAGAACCTACAGAGAACCTGACAGAGAACCTGACAGAGAACCTACAGAGAACCTGACTGAGAACCTGACAGAGAACCTGACAGAGAACCTGACAGAGAACCTACAGAGAACCTGACAGAGAACCTGACAGAGAACCTGGCATCATGGGAGCTCATCCACTGCACAGAACCGAGGACCAGAGAACTGACCATATATGGACGACTTCCGCTGATCTCTCTGTGCCCATGGGGGGGCGCTACTGAGCACAAGCCACTGATTTGAACTGGCCGCCATCTTGGATCACAGGGACTTGATTGCAACAGTGACATTTCCCCGCAAAGGGACCGATAAAGGTTCTCGTCTTTTATCTCCATTACAGCTTTAAATCAGAGTTTGTCCTGTATCTGAGGAGCACAGGGACCGGCCTCCTGCTGGGACTCTGAGGAGCACAGGGACCGGCCTCCTGCTGGGACTCTGAGGAGCACAGGGACCGGCCTCCTGCTGGGACTCTGAGGAGCACAGGGACCGGCCTCCTGCTGGGACTCTGAGGAGCACAGGGACTGGCCTCCTGCTGGGACTCTGAGGAGCACAGGGACCGGCCTCCTGCTGGGTCTCTGAGGAGCACAGGGACCGGCCTCCTGCTGGGACTCTGAGGAGCACAGGGACCGGCCTCCTGCTGGGTCTCTGAGGAGCACAGGGACCGGCCTCCTGCTGGGTCTCTGAGGAGCACAGGGACCGGCCTCCTGCTGGGACTCTGAGGAGCACAGGGACTGGCCTCCTGCTGGGACTCTGAGGAGCACAGGGACCGGCCTCCTGCTGCAGTGTTGTTGTGACGCCGCAGAATTCACTGAAATAGTTTCTCGGCCACAAACCAAACTCACAGTGTTTAGCTTTTCACTTTTAGCACTTTGGACATTCTGTTCCTACACCACACCTCAGTCCTGGGTCTACAGCCTCAGTCCTGGGTCTACAGCAGGGGTCACCAAATGGCGGACCGCGGTCCAGGTCCGGACCCAGAGACCCTTTTATCTGGACCTCCGTGGTTTTTTTTTGTACAAAAGTATATTATTACAATTATGTGTCAAATTTTCACCAAAAGCAATTTGTAAACAGGCAGGCGTGAGGGCGGCAATGTGGGGTCCTTCGAGAAAACTTTACGGAGCTGTGAAAATAACTTTAGCAGTGTCTTCGAGTGAGAGTCAGAGACGTGAAAGAGACGGGAATGAGCCATGGGCGCTGTGTACGGAGCGATGGACGCTCGCGTTCAGCTGCTCACACTGACTGTGTATGAGCAAAGGAGGAGGAGGAGCGAGACAGAGGTGTGTGAGGAGGAGCAGCGAGGAGGAGCAACACAGAGGTACACATCAAAAACATTAAAATCATTAACAAACAGCGTATGCCCTACTTAAGTGCTCACTGAGTGCAGTGGATTTCTGGCATAAAAAGCCTTGTTGTGGTCAGAGTGTGTAGAGGAGGAGGAGGAGGAGGTCAGAGTGTGTGTAGAGGAGGAGGAGGAGGAGGTCAGAGTGTGTGTAGAGGAGGAGGAGGAGGAGGTCAGAGTGTGTGTAGAGGAGGAGGAGGAGGTCAGAGTGTGAGGAGGAGGAGGAGGAGGTCAGAGTGTGAGGAGGAGGAGGAGGTCAGAGTGTGAGGAGGAGGAGGTCAGAGTGTGAGGAGGAGGAGGTCAGAGTGTGTGTAGAGGAGGAGGAGGAGGTCAGAGTGTGAGGAGGAGGAGGAGGAGGTCAGAGTGTGTGTAGAGGAGGAGGAGGAGGTCAGAGTGTGTGTAGAGGAGGAGGAGGAGGTCAGTGTGTGTAGAGGAGGAGGAGGAGGTCAGAGTGTGTGTAGAGGAGGAGGAGGTCAGTGTGTGTGTAGAGGAGGAGGAGGTCAGTGTGTGAGGAGGAGGAGGAGGAGGTCAGAGTGTGTGTAGAGGAGGAGGAGGAGGTCAGAGTGTGAGGAGGAGGAGGAGGAGGTCAGAGTGTGAGGAGGAGGAGGAGGTCAGAGTGTGTGTAGAGGAGGAGGAGGAGGTCAGAGTGTGAGGAGGAGGAGGAGGAGGTCAGAGTGTGTGTAGAGGAGGAGGAGGAGGTCAGAGTGTGAGGAGGAGGAGGAGGAGGTCAGAGTGTGTGTAGAGGAGGAGGAGGAGGTCAGAGTGTGAGGAGGAGGAGGAGGAGGTCAGAGTGTGAGGAGGAGGAGGAGGTCAGAGTGTGTGTAGAGGAGGAGGAGGAGGTCAGTGTGTGTGTAGAGGAGGAGGAGGAGGTCAGTGTGTGTGTAGAGGAGGAGGTCAGAGTGTGTGTAGAGGAGGAGGAGGTCAGTGTGTGTGTAGAGGAGGAGGAGGTCAGTGTGTGTGTAGAGGAGGAGGAGGAGGTCAGAGTGTGAGGAGGAGGAGGAGGAGGTCAGAGTGTGAGGAGGAGGAGGTCAGAGTGTGTGTAGAGGAGGAGGAGGAGGTCAGAGTGTGTGTAGAGGAGGAGGAGGAGGTCAGAGTGTGTGTAGAGGAGGAGGAGGAGGTCAGTGTGTGTGTAGAGGAGGAGGAGGAGGTCAGTGTGTGTAGAGGAGGAGGAGGAGGTCAGAGTGTGTGTAGAGGAGGAGGAGGAGGTCAGTGTGTGTAGAGGAGGAGGAGGAGGTCAGAGTGTGTGTAGAGGAGGAGGAGGTCAGTGTGTGTGTAGAGGAGGAGGAGGTCAGTGTGTGTGTAGAGGAGGAGGAGGAGGTCAGTGTGTGTAGAGGAGGAGGAGGAGGTCAGTGTGTGTAGAGGAGGAGGAGGAGGTCAGAGTGTGTGTAGGAGGAGGAGGAGGTCAGAGTGTGTAGGAGGAGGAGGAGGTCAGAGTGTGAGGAGGAGGAGGTCAGAGTGTGAGGAGGAGGAGGTCAGTGTGAGGAGGAGGAGGTCAGTGTGAGGAGGAGGTCAGAGTGTGAGGAGGAGGAGGTCAGAGTGTGAGGAGGAGGAGGAGGTCAGAGTGTGAGGAGGAGGAGGTCAGAGTGTGAGGAGGAGGAGGTCAGAGTGTGAGGAGGAGGTCAGAGTGTGAGGAGGAGGAGGTCAGAGTGTGAGGAGGAGGAGGTCAGAGTGTGAGGAGGAGGAGGTCAGAGTGTGAGGAGGAGGTCAGAGTGTGAGGAGGAGGAGGTCAGAGTGTGAGGAGGAGGTCAGAGTGTGTTGCAGCCTCTGCTCTGAGAGTTTGGGAGAGGTTTGTGTTGTGTAGAAATAAACAAAGTACATTGCTGTTATGTATGAATTATACACATTTATTATACGGCTCCTCACAGCAGCAGGAGAACGCTCCATTGATTTGAATGTAATTTCAAAACGTTCTACCGGTCATTATTTTCTATAACGGACCTCTCAAAACAATAATGGCCGCTGCCCTTTGGCAACGCACTCTCTGCTTGTCTTTCAAATGCGTGGATAACTCCGCAAGTAGTTCCGGCCACTCCTGAGCTAGCCACGCTCAATCAACACACTTAAATGTTAATCGGAGAATACTTATACATATACATTCTTCACACACGTGCACAGAAATTTTCAGATTTTTCTGGTCTTGTCTTCATGACAAAAATACTATTTCTCCGCGTCAAAAAGCGATCGTGAAAAACCCGGAAGTAGTTCTGGCCGCTCAATAAACGCAAATGCCAATCAATCAACGCAATGAAATGTTTATCGGAGAGTGAATTATACATATTCAGTCTTAATACAAGTGCACGGAAGTTTTCAGAATTTTCCGTTTACGTTTTCATGACAAAAACACTGATGTAATGCGAGAAAAGGCGATCCCGAAAAACCCGGAAGTAGATACCGGCACATTTTCGGACACATTTGCAGAGGATCGAATTATGGATTTAGGTTAAGTTTATGTATGGGTCACTCACCGCTGATGTTCAGAATTCTTTGTTCAGTTTTCATGCAGTTCCAGAGAGTTCTAGTTTGGAGAGTTCTAGTTTGGAATTGTCAAAGCCACACTGCCTGCCCGCGTTTGCCGAGCAACGGGAAAACTTTTTGGGACTACTTTATTTGTTGTCATTAAATAAACTTTTGGCATTCATAAAAGGGGTCCGCGTCAGGGTCCGCTTCGCCCTGTCGGTACTTATTTTCCGATAATGACCTGTATGCTATACATTATCCCTTACCTATATTTAGATTGTATTCATTTTTTTTTTTTTTTTCAAATAGTTCTTACTACTATAGTCGTTGTTTAAGGTTGAAGCTTGAATGGATTTATATGAAATAAAATATTTGTCTGATGTCCGGACCCTGAGCTATTGAACTAATCAAGTAGGTGGACCTCGTGCCAATTTAATTGGGGACCCCTGGTCTACAGCCTCAGTCCTGGATCTACAGCCTCAGTCCTGGATCTACAGCCTCAGTCCTGGGTCTACAGCCTCAGTCCTGGGTCTGCAGCCTCAGTCCTGGGTCTACAGCTTCAGTCCTGGGTCTACAGCCTCAGTCCTGGGTCTACAGCCTCAGTCCTGGGTCTACAGCCTCAGTCCTGGGTCTACAGCCTCAGTCCTGGGTCTACAGCTTCAGTCCTGAGTCTACAGCCTCAGTCCTGGGTCTACAGCCTCAGTCCTGGGTCTACAGCCTCAGTCCTGGGTCTACAGCCTCAGTCCTGGGTCTACAGCCTCAGTCCTGGGTCTACAGCCTCAGTCTTCAGTAACAGGAAGTGACAAACTCAGACATAGCTTTTGCTCTCGGTGCAAACAAGATAAAGTGGAATAAAACTCGCATAAAATTAATTCTCTAATCTGTTGATCTGAATCCACAGCGATACATAAATAAACTGAATTCAAACTGTCTTACCGATAAAGCAGGGACCAGGAGGAGCTGGAGGACGAGGACCTGGAGGAGTCCCATGTTCCCGATCTCGGACCAGAACCTGCAGAGACACAGAGGAGCCTTCAGCCTCTTCTGATTCTGTGTGTTTTTAATCGTCAATTAATGTTTTGATGGTGAAAAATCTGGTCATTTTTATATAATTTTATTAACTGTCACCTGTAGATTTGAGTCTCTCTCTGGTCTCTCTCTGGTCTCTCTCTCTGGTCTCTAGTCTCTCTCTGGTCTCTCTCTGGTCTCTCTCTCTGGTCTCTCTCTCTGGTCTCTCTCTCTGGTCTCTCTCTCTGGTCTCTAGTCTCTCTCTGGTCTCTCTCTGGTCTCTAGTCTCTCTCTGGTCTCTCTCTCTGGTCTCTCTCTGGTCTTCCTCTGGTCTCTCTCTAGTCCCTCTCTGGTCTCTCTCTGGTCTCCCTCTAGTCCCTCTCTGGTACCTTGACTTGTAATGTAAATGCTTTATGAATGAAGCATCTGTGTAGCACCAACCCACTCCCCTCTGTCTTCCACCAAACCCAACCCCGGCACGGACATGTTTCTGTGTGTGTGTGTGTGTGTGTGTGTGTGTGTGTGTGTGTGCACTTGTTTTCAACTCCTAGTGGGTTCCATAACCTGAGATTCCACTCACGTCATGGGGACTGGTTTTACGTGGTGGGGCCCGAACACCGGACCCCACTGGTCCAAGCTTAATAATCAATGGGTAATGCTTTTCTAACGGTCCTTATGCAGTCTCTGTAAAAATATGGAAAGGACCCCTGGAGGTTTACTTTCCTGAAAAAAGTGTGTTATGTGTCGGAACCCTGGTGGTGGGTTGCGGGATATCAGGGAGGGGCACACTGGGGCAATTTCAGTCCAGCAGGCTGGAGCCAATCATGGAGCAGCACAACAGAGGAAATCAGGTGTCAGGCTAGAAAAGGTGCAAGTGTGTGGTTCATTAGGCTGCAGCCAATCACAGAGCAGCACACTGAAGCGCACGCTTACAAACCACTGGTAAGTGCTGACTACAAGTCATGACTTCAAATTGTTATATAGAATGATTACAAATTATTTGTTGTTTGTGCAGCTTAGTCAAGAGTCCCTAATTGATGAAGTCGACTCAGATTCTGACGATTTAACTGTCAAGAAGAAACCTGTAAAAAAGTATGGAAAAAGAAAAATCAAAAACACTTTTCTTCAAGACTCGGAAAGTGACGAACCAAAGGCAAATAAGATTGTTATCATGCAGCTGCAAAAGAAGAAAAATGGGGGGCGAGTTTACAGCAAGAGACACTTCTGCCTCTACTGTTCAATGTCCTGCCACAAAATGTCCCGTCATTTGACTAGAAAACCTGGAAATGAAAGTGACGTAGCCAGAGCATTGGCTCTACCTGTGAAATCTAAAGCACGTAAACTTCAGTTTGATTTGATCAGGAATAGTGGAAACCGTGAGCACAATTTTGAGGTTTTAAAGGCCGGCATTGGAACTTTAGTCCCAGCTAAACAGCCAAATTGCCCAGTTAAATCCAGTGAGTTTTTGCACTGTATAGACTGTGGGGCATTGCTTAAGCGAAAGTCGCTGTGGAGGCATGTGGCCAGGTGCCGGCTTTCACAGAAAGATGCCCAGGCTAAACCAGGTAGAAGTAGGGTCCAGTCCCTCTGCTCCCTAGCCCAGCCTGTACCGGAGGGCATCAGCAAAAAGCTGTGGTCTTTAATTTCGGCAATGCATCAGGATGAGGTCACGGGTGTTGTCAAAGCAGAAAAGGGGATTCTGAGACTCGGAGAGCACCTGTACTTAAAACACGGGCATGATAAGACTAAGCATGATTACATTAGGCAGAAAATGAGAGAAGTCGGTAGGTTAATTAACGAAGCAAAAACTGCAGGGAAACTGAAAACAATTAAGGATTTCTTTATTCCTTCCAACTTTAACCATGTGATTGATGCAGTCAGGTCTGTGGCTGGATATGATGAGGAAACAAATCAATACAAGACTCCATCCTTGGCCCTCAAACTCGGCCATAGCCTCAGAAAGCTAGCAGATATTCTTGAATGTGACTCAAAAATGGAGCATTGTGTTGATGAACTATTTATTAAAAACCTCCAACGAAGCCGGCTGCTTTTTGAGAAGAGGTGGGACGTCTGTGTTTCTTCTGCTGCCCTACAGACCCTCCGGCAAGCCAAGTGGAACACTCCGGACCTGCTCCCTCTGACTGAGGACGTTAGAGCCATGCATGCACATATTGAGGTATGTCGACCTGAATATGTGCAAACCCTAATAAGTGAGCCAACGTCTAAGCATTGGTCTAAACTGGCAGTTTTGACTCTTTGTGAGGTCATTATTTTCAATCGAAGAAGGGAAGGTGAGGTTTCAAAGATGCCACTGACAGCCTTTACCTTAAGAAGTAAGACTGGGATCCATTCTGACATTGCTCTGGGACTGTCCCAACTTGAGAAAAAGCTGTGTCAGCATTTTCAACGCATTGAAATTAAAGGGAAAAGAAGTCGGAAAGTGCCGGTTCTTTTGACTCCTGAAATGATTGCTTGGATGGAGGTGCTGGTGGAGAACAGAAGGGCCTGTTCCATCTCTGACCATAACCCATACTTCTTTTCCCGCCCGGGCGCAGAGACACCCACATCAGGGGATCAGACTCCCTACGCCAGGTAGCCAAAGAATGTGGTGCAGTGCATCCAGAGATGCTATCCTCAACCAAACTTAGAAAGCACATAGCTACTATGTCTACAGTTCTCAATATGAAAGAGAATGAGATGGACATACTTGCCAACTTCCTCGGCCATGACATTCGCATCCACAGGCAATATTACAGACTACCAGAGGGGACACTGGAGCTGGCCAAAATCAGCAAAGTGTTGATGGCCATGGAGCAGGGAAGAGTGACGGAATTCGAAGGAAAGAGCCTCGACCAGATACAAATTGAGCCTGAAGGTAATTCTTGATATTATTAAAATATGTATAATTTTTTTCCCCTAAAGGCCACTTGTATTTTTATTTTCTGTGCGACAGGGAGAGCAGTAGAGATCCTCTCACAAACGGACGGGCTAAAAGAAACTTCAAGCGGAGAACCTTCAACCATTCATCCAGATGCACCCCATGGTAGTGGCAGTGCCCCTTCTGGTAAGTGTACCAGGTGGGGGATTACAGCCAGGCTGCTTGGTCCTAACCCTGGGAGTGTATATTGCTAATATATTTTTATTTCTCTCCCTAGAACGTTAGAGAAAGCCATGGTCTGCATCTGAGGTGAAGGCTGTGGAGAAGACCATGACACCTTTCATACAGACTGGAAAGGTCCCTGGGAAGTCTCACTGCCTGGCCTGCATTAATGCCTCACCAGATGACCTTAGACATCGGACATGGAGTGGCATTAAATTCTATGTCAAAAATAGAATCACTGCAATTCGAAAACAAAATCTAAAATAAAATTCCTTTAAAATAGTTGTTTGGTTTCTATTGACTGTTTTGTATTACTTAAAGTAGTCCCAGTAAAAAAAGATTATGTCTATGGGTCCCATTCTGAACGGCCCTGTCAAAGGGACCCACCAGGTAACAAAAACGTGTATGTGTGTGTGTGTGTGTGTGTGTGTGTGTGTGTCTGTGTGTGTGTCTGTGTGTGTGTGTGTGTGTGTGTGTCTGTGTGTGTGGAGTTGTCTCACCTTTGAGCCGGAGCAGGAGAAGTGAGAGAGAGAGGATTTTATCTGAATTTATTCTAGAATCCTAACTTTGGTTTGTCTCCTCCCATCACCACACACACACACACACACACACACACACAGAGATACACACACACACACACACACAGACACACACACCGACAGAGACACACACACACACACACAGACACTGTGTCCTGTGGAGTAATTGCTGCCTTTGTATGTTTTAAAGAAATGTGAAGAATGAATGTTTTTTTTTTTCAACAATATTTCAACACCAACTCTCAGGTCACATGACACACACATGTGTGTGTCATGTGTGTGTCTCTCTCTGGTCACTTTCTGGTCACTTTCTGGTCTCTCCCTGATCTCTCTCTGGTCTCTCTCTGGTCTCTCTTTCTGGTCTCTCTCTGGTCTCTCTTTCTGGTCTCTCTCTGGTCTCTCTCTGGTCTCTCTTTCTGGTCTCTCTCTGGTCTCTCTCTCTGGTCTCTCTCTGGTCTCTCTTTCTGGTCTCTCTCTGGTCTCTCTCTCTGGTCTCTCTCTGGTCTCTCTCTGGTCTCTCTCTGGTGTCTCTATGGTCCCTCTCTGGTCTCTCTCTGGTCTCTCTGGTCTCTCTCTGGTCTCTCTCTGGTCTCTCTCTGGTCTGTCTCTCTAGTCTCTCTGGTCTCTCTCTGGTCTCTCTCTGGTCTCTCTCTGGTCTCTCTCTGGTCTCTCTCTGGTCTCTCTCTGGTCTCTCTCTAGGCTCTCTCTGGTCTCTCTCTGGTCTCTCTCTGGTCTTTCTCTAGTCTCTCTCTGGTCTCTCTCTGGTCTCCCTCTGGTCTCTCTCTGGTCTCTCTCTGGTCTCCCTCTGGTCTCTCTCTGGTCTCCCTCTGGTCTCTCTCTGGTCTCTCTCTAGTCTCTCTGGTCTCTATCTGGTCTCTCTCTGGTCTCTCTCTGGTCTCTCTCTGGTCTCTCTCTAGTCTCTCTCTAGTCTCTCTCTGGTCTCTCTGGTCTTTCTGGCCTTACCACAGATTCATTTAAGGTCAAATATGGGCTTTTATCCGACTTCTCTCTTTGATGTTGACAAATCGATAACTGAGGCCTTCATCCACCGCTGTCAGACTGTACGATGAGTCACGTTTTAATTGCTCGATGTTTAGTTGTCTTTGTGCACATCCTGAGGGAACCTAGCGAAGCCAAATGTAGCATGTAAGTTAGCCATGTTATCTTTATTATGCTAAAGCTATAGATTATATACTAGCTTCCTTGTTTTTCTTAAGTTTGATTGTTTGTTTTATTTTAGATTGTCAATAAAGTTTGACCTTTTCCAAACTGTATAAAGTCCTTCCAGACGCCTGTGGTTCACAAATACATTAAATTATTATTATCGTAGATTTCCCAGACGT